ATGACAACATTAATTATTTAATGGTGTTTTTGTTTAAATTTGTTTGACTACTTAATGAAGAATAAATTATAATTATATTAAAAGGATTTGGTTTATTAGTATAAATATCTGAATTTTTATAAGTGTTTTTTCTTGAAAAGTGATTTAGTCATTTAATATGTTTTAACTAAATCACTTAAAGATATTTAAATATGTTTAACTGAAATATATTTTAGAGTGTTTGAGTATGTTTTGATTTAATTGATGAATATTTTATAAAGATATTTAGATGTTTTACATGAAAAAATTTCTATTACGCGAATTGATTTCGTAACATGAAATGAATTTTTAGTTCTAATTGCTATTTCTATTAAATAAGTTATTTTTTAAAGTACGATGTCTATTTTTATGTTAATGATGGACCTAAAATTTAATTTAAAGAATTTTTTGTTGTGTATGTTATTGTATTGTATATTAGAAGTAGAGGACACGAAGCTTAGTGTCTTACATTCATTATTCTTCGAACTCGAGGCATTGCTAGTAGCGTTCTCAACTTACTTTAAGTCTTAAGTCCGAAGTGTTACATCAAACCTCTATTGAAAAAAGTTAACGTGTGTTGTTTATAAGATTTGATATTTTTGCACAAAGTCACCATGATTTTGTTTAAAAACATGTTTTGTTTTTTTTTTTAATCAAAAAAATAAAAGATAAAATCATTAAAAGCGATTGTTATTCTCACTCCTTATCTCTCATATGTCTCGCTATAGTGTTTTTAATGACGACTTATCAAATCATTAATGGTATTTGCTACAAATCAAACGCATGAGTGATCTTGACATAATCCATTAAATAAACAATTTTTTTAAATTATTAAATAGGAAAAGTATTATAATTGTAAATGAAATAAAAAGAAAAGACCAAAGTGTGTGTTTGTGCATGTGTCACATGAAAAAAAGGGAAAATTTTATTTTTCTCTTATGTTGGGTTTTTCTAACACGCATATATACAATGAAGTTGGTATTTAATTGGTATGCGATTGCCAAAAGAGAGCGAATTGGAGATAAAATTAAGAAATAAAAGTTTTTTTTTTTTGATTATTTTGAAGAATTTTATAAGAAAAAACAAGGAAGTATAAATTTTAAAATTTCATACCGAGACAAATTTAACTAAAGAAATAACTTATATTACTTGCTAATATTTTCATTTTTCAAGTTCATAGAGAAACCTAAGTGATTGCATTGCTTTCTCAATCAAAGTGGATTATTTTAAAGTTGGTCCCGTAGTTTTTCTATCAACGATAAAGAAGATTTTTCATGTAATTCTAGTATTTTATAGTTATACTATTGTGATTGATTTATTTTCTACTCTTAATTTTTATGTGTGTTTGGTTTAATTTTTTTTTTTACAAATTTTAATCTATACTCGAGTGAAATTAAATTTAACATCTATCGACGATAACTTTTTTTTTAACTTTGGATTTTGTGTTTTTAAATTTTAATTTTTGATGCGAAACCAAATCTTGACACTCAAAATGGATTTCAAGGTCTATGAATGGTTATGTTGTGATTTTTGGGTAGAAATTAAATTTTAAAGTGTTGCTAACGGTGTTGGCTGAAAATTATGGGAAAGCAATAGGAATTCTTTTTCTATTTGTTTATGTTAGGAATTTGGTGTTGTGATGAACAACGTTGCTATTTGAATACAATTACTTGTGTTCCTTTTTTTTTTTTTTTTTTTTGTATGAAGAGGGGCGTTAAGCATGATTGAGAAAATGTGGAGTATGTAAATTAGATGATTCCAACAAATAAAAAATTAAAAGAAAGTTGAAATGGTCAAACTTTTTATGAATTTTAGTTCATTTGAAAATCAATTTTTAAACTTTTAATTTGTTTTTTGACCTCTTGGATTATTTATTTATGTTTTAATATTTAATCAATCCTTTGATATTTTGATTTGATGTTTTGCATACAAGTTGAGAAAAATCCAACCATTTTTTACGAAAAAATCTAGATTTTTTCAAGGTTTGAACATTAAAAAAATTTAAGAAAAATAGAAAATAACCCAAAATGATCTCAATTTTTTTTTTAACAAGTTTTAGATAAATTTCGCTAGATGATTTCCATTGGAGGACTAGTTACGTAATTATTATTTTTTTGAAATAAAAAAATAAAAATAGAATAAATCTATAAAAAAAGTTCATAGAAGCGAGTCAAAACATATATAAATTAAAAGTTCAAGAGTGATGTTTAAATAGAATGAAGTTCGGGAATTGTTTGATCTTTTTAGCCTTAAAACAAAAATCAATTAATTTTTTTGTTGACTTCTCGAAATAAAATAAAAGAATTTTCAAGTTCGAATAAAAACTAAAAAAATTGCGAACAATAAATAAATAAACAAAAAATATCAAGAGAATTTTGATTGTTTTTGCTTTATTTTTTTTTCAAAATTTTAATGCATACACACACATATATATAATTGGAATCAATATAAATTTGACACCCGCCCTTCCTCCATTTAAAAGTCAAAATTAGTTATCCGTATTATTTCGATTGTAATATCATTCTGTCGCTTTAATCTAAGTATGGGCAGGAAAGTTATGCTACTTATATATTTTATTTACAATCAAATATGCAATCATTAAATATTAAAATTTAAATTCGTTCGATGTAAGAACATAAAAAGAAAACAATTTTTTAAAAAATAATGTAAGAACATAAAAAGAAAATAACTTTTTTTTCAAGAACAATCGAAATACAAAAAATAAAATAAAATTAAGTGTACATATATATATATATATTGAGTTTCCGCACCATCGAGTTGGTTTGCTATCGATTTATGCAATTATCAAAAACTATAAAAACTGATCAAAAAACATAAAAACCAAAAGATTTAATTATTTAAAAGAAATAAAATGGGAAAAGAGATTTATCGTTTTCTTGGCAGCCACCATGGTTATGATCTTAGATAGTTTATAATATAAAATACGAGGGCTTACCGAAAACCTAGATAGGATAACATATGTATTTATATAAAGAGGAGACTAGGATTTTTGTGGATTGGTTCCGTCGGTCCTTGAGATTTTATGTTTTTCTACGAGAGAAAATGCCTATCGACAATTTTTCGTATCATACAAAGTGTTTATTCGTAATTGTTGTGATAGCCAAAAATAAAAAAATAAAAAATCATAAATATACCTTTGTATGTTTAACAATTTTTCAACCGTGCCCTTCTTAAAAAAATCAAACCTCTAGTGTCATCAAATCTATTTACGAAAATTACATTCAATATGGGTGAGCAATTCATAGATGATAATTTTCGTTGAGGAAATGCCTCTTGGTATTATTTGTATGATTTTTATCATAAAATCATTACGTTGCTTTGTTTTAAATAAAGGCATGAAAGTACCAAAGTTATGCCATTTATATATTTTATTTACAGTCAACAAAAAATCATTCAATGTTGAAATTTAAATTTGTTCAATAAGATATTGGAGCAAATTAAATTGTTAATATACCGATAGTTTTTATTTTGAGACGATGTATAAACGGATCAAGAGAACAAAAAATACACTAGAGAAACGTGTGTTCTACCGGGACTAAAAAAACTTATGCTGGATTTAATATGACACATTTACATAAAATAAATGTTAAAGAGTTTTGCGAAACAGATCTTGTAACTAGGAAAGTATTATATACATAGGCAATAGCTTGGAATACTCCTAACCCCATCTTACATGTCTTGAAAACAAAGTTGACAATAGATGTTTTTGTTTTATTCTATGGTTTGCTAGTAAGAAAAATAATTTTTATAATCAATCTTGAAAGAGAATTACTTTTTGTTTTGTTTTAACGTATGAGATATAATTAGTTTTTTTTAATACAATTTTTATTTTGTATTAAATAATATTAATATTTATTTAGTCCTACGAATAAAATTGTAGTTCAATACTCGATTATTTTTAATACGATAGTTTTCGTATTGAGATTATAAATTTTCATCTAAAAAATTCCTTGGTGGCATGTACGATGCATAAATAAAAATTAATAGAGACGGGTGTTATGAAAATCTTATTCAAGGACATTGGTGTTAGATCATGTGTTTGAAACACTTAATAGTATTATAAACCATCTACACTGCTAGAATTCCAAATTAACAAAAAAAAATAAAATAAAAAACAGCAACTTATTTTATTCAATTTAAGATCACACTAATTTTATTTGATTTACACGTGAAATTCAATATCTCGATTCTACACCATGATCAAATTCACGTTTAACAAACATGTCAGTACCTAACAAATTGAATAAAAATCAAGCATTCAAAAGATAAAAAAAAAAAATACAAAACATGCAATTTTCTCTTTCACAATTTTATCATGGACGCGCTTTTTTTTTTTTTTTTTAACATATGAAGAGACAACAGATACTTTAAGACTTGACATGCTAAATTAAATACAAAAATTCAAATATAACAAAAATAAATAAAATTAAAGTTAGGCATTTGAATAAAAAAATAAAAAATGGGTAACCAAACAAGCAATTTTCTCCTTTAGCAATAATTAAAAAAAAAAAAAAGACACCAAGTGAAGGGAAATGATTTATGAATGACAAGTCAACCTTCATTTTTTTTCTCATTTTGGCCGAAACACACCCGAGATGGACGAGGCATTTAGGCCGGTATTTTCCGAAACGGCCCAAGATTAACAACGAAATAGAATTTGCATTGCTTGTTATATTTTCTGAATCGAAGAAAGATATCTCGGCCGTACCGGGGTTCCGGTATATGATTTTTTATTTGTTAAAAAAACTTTATTATCTTGACATTTGACCCTGCTATTGTCTGTTTTTCCTTTTCACACCCTTCGCATCTCTAGATAGAGAGAAACCCAGTCCTCACGCACGCAGGCACGCTCGCACTTTCTCATCTCTCACTCTCCTTTTCTTTTTCCCAATTTTTAAGCCCCAAAATTTCATCTAGGGTTTTCGCTACCTAAAAAAAGAAAATCCAAAAACCAAACCCCGATGGCTGAAGTGATTAACATGCCGGTCGATTCCCTCGACCGTCGCGGCGGGGGAGGCGGAGGAGGAGGAGGACGCGACAGGAAGGATAAACCACCCACCGATGATCCACAATCACAATCTTCTCCTCCACCACCTCCTCCTCCTCCTCAACGACGCCGTGAGAGAGACTCGAGAGAGAGACGTGAAGACTTCGATAGACCACCGAATCGACGTGGAGGCGATTATTATGATAGGAATCGGTCCCCGCCACCTCCGCAACGAGAGAGGGAGAGAGAGTATAAGAGGAGGAATAGTATGAGTCCTCCACCTCCGTTGCCGTATAGAGATAGGAGACATTCGCCGCCGCCGAGGAGGTCGCCTCCGTATAAACGGTCCAGGAGGGAGGATGGTGGGTATGATGCTAGGAGAGGAAGTCCTAGAGGTGGATTTGGAGGTGGTGATCGAAGGTGAGAGACTTAGGGTTTTATTGATTTATTTTGATTGGCCTCTTCTTATAGAGATTTACTTGTGCCGTCCTTCAGGTTTGTTAGGTTTTGTTGAGGAAGTTAGAGAATCGTGTAGAGAATTTGTTAGTTATTTAGTTAATTGAGGATGTTTATATTTGTCAGCTAAAAGGAAATCAAAAGAGAAGAGAAGAAATATAATGGAATAGAAAATTTTGGTAGTTGTTTGGTTAATATTGTTGTCTATGGACTTTGAAGGCAGTGTATTTTATCATGCAATAATTTTCTGATTTAGGTTCGGGTGGGCATGATTAGAATTGAAATTTATATCTTTTAAATTGTTAGTGATAAATTGACTGTTATTAGAGTATTAGACTTCATACTGTGGCCAGGGTGAATCTTGAAGTTTTATCTGGATGGTTGAATTTGCTTTCTCGCTCTCTCTCTCTCTCTCTCTTTTTTTTTTTTTACTGTTTTGCTTATTGTTGCAGTTCATAAACACACTATTCCTTCATGTGTTTGCTATAGCTTTGACTTTTTGTTTGTGTTCTTTATGCTTGTGGTTAATCAAGACCGTGCCTTATAGAGTGATACGAGATGTTTGCAATATTTGCTTATGATTCTTAATTTTGGGCTTAGCAAGTTCCTTTATGCAATATTTGCTCAACAAATTGGAAACATGATGTTTGATGTAGGTTTGGATATGATTATGGTGGTGGATATGACCGTGAGATGGGAGGTAGGCCAGGTTATGGTGAAGAAAGGCCTCATGGCCGATACATGGGTCGTGGAGGTGGATATCAAGGTGGTCCTCCAGGTACTCGCTCATCTGCTTCTGATGGCTTTGTTTTAAAACTTCAAATGTGATTTCATGTGCTTTACATAATTTTTATGCTGGGTATGATGGAAGATATTGGCAATTATTTGCAAGTCACTTTGCCAATAGTTAGCGGCCTAAGTTAAAGATTTGACTTGATTTGAGCTTTCTGCATCCATATTTTTATCTGTATTTGTTGCATTTTAGTAACTTTGGTTTTGTTCAAAGGTGTTTCCAACTGAAAACCAATTATCAAACTGGATCCCTTAGGAAGCTTACTGAGGATTGTTTTTTTCGCTTAAGAAAATCCAACCATAGAAAAAAGGGTAGAGGCACATATATGAAGTGATTGCCTTTACTTTTTCTTCTAATAATATGGCAACTATAAGGAAATCGACCATGTTTTATGCCTGTGCTATTTGTTCAAGTGGAGCTCATTTCTTCTATTATTGCTGCAGATTGGGAATCGGGACGTGGTGGTTATGGCGATGCTTCCAACACAGTGCCTGCTCAAAGGTTAGTATTTTGTCGTGTTACAGACTCTTGCTCTGGTCGGAGTTGGATTTATCCTTCATTATTAAAATGTGATTGTTTGCATTGCTCTTAATATTTTTGCTCATCCCGGTTTTAGACTTATATAGAAAAATAATTTTTATTTGCTTTATCATTAGCAGATTTATTGGAGTGAATTCTCATGGGTAAATTTCACTCAACTCCAGTGCCTCTTCCTATAGGTGGCTCTGCAATAGATTAAATTTATTTTCCGAGTTTGAGAGAATTTCAATACCTGCGGTTTGTGTAAATTAAATGCAGTCTGGTTTAATTAGTACATTCATGGGTTTGTATTTGCTTAGTCGAGCAACAGGTTTCCTAGGTAGTATTGTTCGAAATTTGAATGGGAACGTTATTGGTACAGGACAAAAACTAATTGGTATAGAACTTATATGAATGTTTTCTGTAAGACGGAAATATCCTAGTAGCACTTTTGATATGTGATTGAGTCGGTTAGACATAATATTTTAACGTTCTCTCTCTCTTATTTTTACAATCATATAGATAAGGAATTTTACTGAAGTTGAGTGGAGACTTCATTATGCTTGTCGTTCTCACATGGTCACTACACGTTTTTTTTCAGAGAAGGCTTGATGTCATACAAGCAATTCATGCAGGAGCTTGAAGATGACATACTGCCATCTGAAGCTGAGCGCAGGTGCAGTGTGGGTTTATTTTTGGCCTCTGTATAGTTGAATAATGAGTCAAAATTATGTTCCCGAAAAATGTGGAAGTTATCTTGACCTTTGATTGTGCAGATATCAAGAATATAAGTCAGAGTATATTTCAACTCAGAAACGGGTTTTCTTTGAGGCTCATAAAGATGAGGAATGGTACTTCTCTTCCCTTAGTTAATATCTGCCCTTCTGTTGGCTTCAATGTTCTGATGTTAGTTGTCTATATGTAGGTTGAAAGACAAGTATCATCCGACCAATTTGGTTGCCGTCATTGAAAGGTGTGTTCTACCTACGCATTCTAGGAGAAAATCTAGTCATGATATGTATTTAGCCTGAGCAATTTTTCAGTTAATATTTGGTTTGAATTTTGGTGTTCAATGTCAGCCACACTACGACTTTTTTTTGTTTGTTTGATTGATTGTTGTTTGAAAATGCTTTGTAGGAGGAATGAACTTGCACGGAAGGTTGCAAAAGATTTTTTGCTTGATTTGCAGAGTGGAACATTAGACTTGTAAGATTGGCGTTTTTGTACTTACATTTACACATTCCTTTACTTTTACATTGTCGAACTTAAATTTTTTCATTGATAATGCAGAGGTCCTGGTGTCAATGCACTATCACCAAATAAATCAGGACAGGCAAGTGATCCAAATTCTGATGACGAGGCAGAGACTGGTGGCAAAAGAAGAAGGCATGGTCGGCCACCTGCTAATGACTCTGATCTTCTTTCAGCTGCTCCAAAGGCTCATCCAGTAAGTTCAGAACCCAAGAGAATCCAAGTTGATGTTGAACAAGCACAGGCCCTTTTACGGAAACTTGACTCTGAAAAAGGCATCGAAGAAAATATTTTAAGTGGATCTGATAATGAAAAAATGAGTAGAGAGAAATCCCATGCCACTGGCCCTGTTATCATCATACGAGGCTTAACCTCAGTCAAGGGCCTTGAAGGTGTGGAACTACTGGATACACTTATAACATATCTTTGGCGGGTCCATGGTTTGGATTACTATGGAATGATTGAAACAAATGAAGCTAAGGGTCTTAGGCATGTGAGAGCCGAGGGAAAGAGTTCTGATACAAGCAACGGAACTGAGTGGGAAAAGAAACTTGACCTGCGCTGGCAAGAGAGATTGAGGGGTCAAGATCCTCTAGAAAAAATGACTGCTAAGGAGAAGATAGATGCTACTGCAGTTGAAGGTTTGGATCCATATGTCCGGAAAATTAGAGATGAGAAGTACGGTTGGAAGTATGGTTGTGGAGCCAAGGGTTGCACAAAGCTCTTCCATGCTGCTGAGTTTGTGCACAAGCATCTCAAGCTGAAACACCCAGAGCTTGTGATGGAGCTGACCGCCAAAGTGCGGGAAGAGCTGTATTATCAGAACTATATGAAGTAAGCAACGTCTTTCAACATAATTTTCTGCTCTTGATGTCATTTATAACGTGACAAGTACCTTATTCTCATTTGCAGTGATCCAGATGCACCTGGTGGCACACCTGTTATGCAGCAGTCCATACCGGTATGATTCATCAAATCAATAGTTGTCAGTGATCCACATGCTTGTTTATATTGTCTATATGGGTTTCTTACATAAAGTCCAGGTTTATAATGGCAAATAATAGTGGCACTTCTGTGTGTGAAATAACTGTTCACTGCACACATTAAACCTTCATTTTTTTACCTTCCAGCTACCTCTGAGTATGAGCTAACCGGATCTTAGCTTATTCTATTTGCCTTTATATCTAGTTCAAAGTTTTAACGGTTTGATATGTGTCTCTCCCCACTTCTACACGAGTTGGTAATGATGCATGGTAGCCCCTCAGTTATCATAGATATATGTTCCCTCTATCTGCAGTCTCTGTTTTTTTTTTCAACACTTGTTCCTCTGTTTTTCACAATAATGATCATGAATTCTCCACGTTATTTGTTTTTTTAAATAGCCACATGTTTTCACTGCAGAAGGATAAGCCACAAAGGCGCAAGCTTGGTCCGGACAATCGGTTGAAGGATGAACGCGGAAACCGTAGAGAACGTGACAATAGAGCAAATGGCAACGAAAGATTTGATAGATCTGAAAATCCACAGTCAGGCGACTTCCAATCTAATGATGGTCCTGATGGAGGAAATCGCGATGAAGCAATGTTTGATTCTTTCGGAGGACAAGGCATCCGTGTACCTCCTCCTTTCCCCTCAGATATAGCTCCTCCACCAGTTTTGATGCCTGTTCCTGGAGCTGGGTAGGTTGAGAGTTTGAACAACGATTTTGCGGTTGTTTTAGTGGAGATATTTCTGTACTTGTGTTGTTTTTTACTTAAGAGTTTGTTCTGATTGCACTGGGTTATACTTGCAGTCCACTGGGGCCTTTTGTTCCTGCCCCACCTGAAGTTGCGATGCGCATGTTTAGAGATCAGGGTGGTCCCCCTCCATTTGAAGGTGGTGGCAGAAATGCAAGGCCTGGGCCCCAGTTAGGTGGGCCAGCCCCTATTCTTCTATCACCAGCCTTCCGACAGGATCCTCGACGTATACGCAGGTAACTTTTGTTGCAACCTTTTCCTACCAAGTTTGTATCTGTACTTGTGTACGTGTAAGCTTTCCATGCTGTTTTTTTGTGCAAATCAACCTGAATACATGTCATTTCTCAGTGAAAATTTCGATCAATTAAACATGTTTGGAATGGGTTTCACTTAGCATAAGCTAGATTGAGATCCATGCCAATAAAAATGATGCGACACTTGCCATGAATTTCGTTACAAATAAGTCCTATGCTATGACGTATACTGTGTATTGTTTTGAACATCAGTCCTAGGCTGTTGGGTTCAATCTTGATTATGAAGCATAAAGAAGAATTATAGAGATCTGCTTTTTTTTTTTTTTTAATCCCCCAACTTTTATGGAGAGAGTTTTGCACAGCTGCATTTCATTCTACAATTTAAACCTGCTGACATTGGGATGTTATCGTTTAAAAACATCTTATGATTGAAGACATTGAGCAAATTTGATATAAAACAATTCATGTGGCCTCACCTAATAGCTTTTAGGTTGAGATGGTTCTTTGATAGAGACAATTTAGTAAGATTTTTTTTTTTCGGTTTAATATCTCTTTCTCAATCATGATGTGACTCCTCTAAACTTCAAAATTTTTGCAGTTATCAAGACCTAGATGCACCTGAGGATGAAGTCACTGTTATAGATTACAGGAGTTTGTAGGTGTCACTGGTGGGGTTCACGGGAAGACTTTTCAGATATGGATTCTTTTTCTTGAGCGAAGGTAATTTTTATGTGCTTGGTCGACTACTTTTATTTGGGGCAATCCGACAGTAGAATCATCGCCTTGTGCTTAAAGCAATTAAGGGCAGCTCTTCTCTGCGTTAATGGTAAAGCTGCACACTATGATATGAATTCAGATTGGGTCATTGATGAAAAGTGGTTCTGATATTTTTTTTCCATTCCTGCCCACTTTATTGTCTTGAGAAGATGGCGTTGTGTATTTAGGCATGGGCATATACAATATTTGACAAAATTGTATCCGTAGAATGGACTGTGCAAAGCAGATTTCAGATAGCTGTCGATTTGTTTTCAATTTCTTAGTTTTCAGTAGCCTGAGTATTTTTTTGTTAATAAAACGAAGTTGGAACCTTTGTGGATGTCTGATGATAACTAACCAGATGAATGGTTGAGTATATTTATCAACTGAGTAGTGTGTTATAAACTTGAAACTTTGTTGTAGACGATCCTAGATAGGGCTTGGAATCTTTTGTTTCATTAAGAATTTAGGACATTGGCTTCTCCATGTTGAGTACTTGGTGTGAAGTTATTTTGTTGATTGTTAGTTTCTCCTCCACGTTCTTGAGGATCACACTGATGAACTGGTATTGATTCCACTGAATTTAGGCAGAACAGAATTGATCCACCTTTTATGGAAAATATAACGAGAAAAGGGGGCTGTGTTTTGTCTGTCCGAGTTGATTGAACCAAGGCTTGCTAATGACGGTAGCAGGCCTGAATTTTACGTGCTCGCTGTCTCTGGAAATGGTGATCGTCGTTGACCTGACAAGCATGTCTGTCTGGTAGGTTGGATTAAGCCCAAGCGTCTAGTATGAAAGAAATCAAAATCAGACTTTGCCCTAGATGAAAATGGCCTGCATCGTCAATGAACATTTAACTCGGGCATTTGATCATGGAGCGGAAGCGTTAGTCCAATTTTGTAAGCATATGCAGAGCTAGAATGGAAGGGAGATGTAAAGCTCCACAAAACTGGAACGTACTAGAGGGATGTCAATTAACATAAACCGATCGGTTTAAATCCATTTGATAGTATCATTGATGTAGCGCAACTGTTTAGTTGTTGCCAAAAATAAAAACAAAAAAAACAAAAAAACCTAAAAATTATTGAATAACCAAGGATATGCCAATTTCTTGTTCGTTCAATTTTTAGCAGAAGAATCCTAATTTCAACCTGGAGCAGTTTTGTTGTACCGCACAACTAATCACATAGAACACCATTGATTAGCGTTAGCAAAAATCATTTTCAAAGATATCAGTCTACTTTCAGATGCGAACAGCTGAAACAATCCAAGGATGCCATATTGAAATCCAATCCAAAGCCATGCACAACTGCAGCATTGAATACAATTCAGTGCTGCTCCAATCCGGAGGCACGGAGAAAAATAAATCAACTTTGAGAACTTACCTAACAAATTTGGAAAAAGATCCTACACGCAATGCTTATTTAGCATGGGAAGCGAAAAAGCATCCATCTTAAATGCTAATGAACTGGTGCAGAGTTCATACCAGTCTTGCCTCGATCTCGATTTCCCAAAGAATGTATGAAGATGCAGAGCAACACGGATTTGAACTAGCATAACATAAACTATCTTTGATCAATTCTAACAAAACTTGTGAAGAATATAGAACAAATGAGGCGCCTGGATCAAATAAAAACCCTAAAATGCAACTCTTTGATGCCTCGGTTTTTACAATTTGACACACTAAATGTACAAATATGTTACATACAAGGGCGTTGGGAAGAGGGGAAGGAAAATAAAGGTCGAAGAACATGCCCAATTCAAAGGGAGCAACGATAGACAATTTGATGAACACCCCTCCTCTGTCCTCCAAAACAGTTTGGCTACCAGGGATTTAGTTGACAACAAATATAAGCTTTCACTTCCGATGCTTCTTGGACGGAGGCTCTGCTTGGGGCTCAGCCTGCTCAACATAAAAACTTCTTGTAAGTAGAATGAAACTTTGAAATCCGGAGCATTGCTTTATAAAATCATGTTTATATCTGAGATTGTTTGACTGCAATATTCCAACTCAAAAGTAGTTGAAAAAAAAAAAAGGGAAAAAGAAGTGCAAGATGCTTGACATACATATCATACTGGTCATAGGAAAACTTTAGCAGTACCCATACTCAGATTATATGCAGATGAACAATTGTCAGGATCAACAAAACCATGGACAACCAACTAGTTAATCTGCCAATTTAAGCGTTGAACAAGCTAAAGCCTAGACCATGCTAAACCTTTCAACTTGTGCAAACACAGACTCACAGAGAGGATGGTACAAGGTACTGGCAAGATAACATATGATGCAGACAAATTTGTCTACAATACTTTTCTTTCAAAAAAGGTAGGACGGGTTTTTCTTTATTGGATCACCTAAGTTCTCATACTGTAAAAAGTTGAATTTGCGCAGGCAAAATGTTCATATAAATGACCTGCATTTAGATGGAATCCCAAAGAATTTACTTTACCTCCAAACCTATTGGTTCTCAAGCTGTTCTCAACCTATTGATAACATGTTTAAAATGATTCCTGTTAGATATTCAATATAAGCACTTGGTGCAATCAAGTCATGGCTCCTTACCATATAAAGTTTTACCATTTAAAGTTTCTTAAAAAGTAGCGATAATAACGATGCTCTATATTGGATAAATGCAAACCTGTCAGTACCATTATTATGCTGTGTTATAAAAGGTATCTAACAAATTTGTCCATTTTCGATGGGTGGGGAGAACTTGTAGAAATTTCAATTGCTTATAAACGTTACGTTTCGAGAAACAAGGAAATCAAGCAACAACATTAGACAGACAGAGAGAACAAAAACAGATCAGAAGAGAAGAAAAGAAAATAGATGATGAGCTGTGAATTTGATTCTGGACTCCCAGCTTCTCTGACAGATCTGGGACTAGAAGAGTTTACATCACAGACTTTAACTGAGGGAACAAGGAGCTCCTCGTCACTTGATAGATCTCCTCTGATGATCAGATGATTGGCACAGGTTAGCATATTCTCAATCTTACAAATTTCATTTGAATCAGGTAAGAACTTTCAATCTTGGGCATATACTTTCCCTCCCAAACTGGTTTCATTGAATCAGGTAAGAACTTTCAATCTTGGGCATACACTTTCCTTCCCAAACTGGTTTCATGCAATTGTGTCTTTTTCGAACTATAGTTCAATACAATTGTTGGTGTCAATTTAAAAGTCAAAAAGTTACGTTAGGTTTAGAGAGCCCTAGTGCTGCTCAACAGATTGGGGCTGACAGCATCAGTTTTCTTGTTGCAACTTGGCAGATCCTTAGGACTAGACTCCACTAAAGGTTCTGCCTTGATTCTTCATCCTCCAAAGCTCATTTTGGCAAAATATGGATGGATTGATTTGGTTATCTCCTTGTTCACTAGAGGATATCAAAAAAAATTTGAATCCGGGGGTATTTTTCCTATTTTACAGATTTAGATTTGTTTGATGGACACTGAATGTTTGGTAACAAGTCAGAATCTAATCTTTGATATGTGGTTAACAAAAGAAGAAAAAAAAATTAAATAAAAACAAAGAGAGAGAAAGATAGCCTAATCTGTGTTTGGTAGTGGCTATATTTAATAAGTAAACTTTATTGTTTCAATTCTCTTGTTCTCATTGGCCAATAAAAAAGGAATTTTTCTTTTTGTTATGCACCATTTCTTGAATTCGAACACTAAATTGGATATGAATTATTTGTGAATTTTCAAAAGTGGTAAGTATTTTAGACTGGAAAATATGTATCTATATAAGCTTTCCTTGAACAAATAATTAGAGATTGTTACCATATTTCTTTAATAGTTTGCATAATTATGCTAGTACGAATTACGATGTCATCCAGGATGAAAATGGAGAAATCCACATGTAAGAAAAAAGTGCCAGCTGGTTCCCAATGCTAAACACCGATCTAATGGCATTATCTCTCAATCTTCTTTCTACAATGTATAGTTTGGAGATTATATGCCTCTTAGGTCTAAAACTTTGTAACAAATGGAAAGGCATTGATGCACAGTCAAAGCTCACAGCAACGTTTACAGGGACAATAATCATAGACCCTGTTTAGTGCAAGCATTTCCTTTCTGATAAAATGCAAGTAATCAATTTTACTACAGGTGCACAAAGGTAGCAGTTATTGCAAATGATACATCGGGAAGGTATTATCAAATTAACATACTTTGTAATCCTTTTGGGCCTAGAAATAAATACAGGCTCCAGAAAATGGAACAGGCAATGTCAACAGTATCAGAAGAAGAGAGCTTTGGGAGCTCACGTACCAAAAGTGAAAAAAAATCGAAGTAAGAAGAGAGTACTTACAGAATTTGAAAGCTGCTCGCGAATGTAGGCCATCGATCTCAGCATGGCACCTAATGTATCTCTGGATACCTGAAATTTAACCTCTGACTCTCCTGTAGTAGTTTCAGTGTCTTGAAGCTGAACCAGAGGGGGAAAAAAGAATAAATTTTCCAAATGAATATTAAACTACAACAAATAAAAAAGATCAACATAGACCTCTATGAGACCAAAAAGCCATCTGTAAGAATGAAATAACTGCTGTGATTATTAAACATTAAAAGTGCTAATACTCTAAAGTGGGTAGAACAGAAGCAGGGCTGAAAAATCACGTTTCTCTTTTCTTTTTAGGTTTGGGTTCTTTAACTAGCCCTAGATCCTGTCTCATCTGGTTCTCTTCTGATAGGATTCAATAAATCCTAGTGCACCAAAAACACAAGGACAAATTTCACCAAATCTATCCTACATCACAGCTACTCATAGCTAGCTGCTGTCGTTTGGTTTGAAAAACGAGAGAAAAGAATAAACATGATTATAATATTTGAATTAGAAAGTACTTCCCAAGTAATGGAAACCTCTAATGCAAAGAAGACATGATTTAGGATTTTTATGGTCAGAGGCAGATATAGAGAGTAAAAATCACTAGGTCAATTGGAGATTTGTTGTGACTTCTGAGCCTGATGCTCAAGAGAGGTTCAGCATACACCCTGAGGTTTAGGGTTAGGGCGTGCCCACCAAAGGTGGTTGAAGTCTGGACGGGTTCTCCGTTATTAAAAAAAAAATAAAAAAGACTTGTGCATTGCTTAATAGACTTATTTGGTCCATAAGAATGTCACCCTAGTTGATGAATGAATAGGGCACTTCCTCTAGGAATGGGTTCTATATATTCCATAAGGTCATTTGCAGCAGGTTAAGTGTTCAAATGAGCATTTGAAAATTCATCTCACTAGTTTTCTTCCCATTTGTTCATCTTTTGAAATATAAAACCAGTAATGGTTGTTCCATCATTTATGAAAGGGCCTGGAGTCATGGGATATCCCTAGTTCCCTCGCTGGATGTTTATCCAGTTAGCATAATGTCACTATTTCAAGTTTTAATTCCCTGGAAGGGAGGTACAATTAACTGGAATTTCACTTCTTTCAAAATATAAATGACAGTGAAACATAGGACCCCCTTTCATAACTTAAATATCTATTTATTTGTGGCGAAATAACAGAATCTGGGCTTTAGAGGGTTCTAGTGCCTAGCAAAACTTTTCTTCTCAACCTTTTCGGACACCAATTCTCCCAATAGCATGAATATTGATGACTTGTTCCATATTAAGAGATCAAACCAGAGTCCATTACCTAATGTTCATGCTGTGTCCCACCTTAGTCACAACTTTGGATGTGTTTACAGGCTATTTGCTAAATGCAATAAGTCTTCGATAGTCCTACTCGCGGAGGAATTTTTGGGTTTCAAGGGGGAGAAAGGGCTGCAAGATTTTGCTGTTTGACAAGGAGAGCAGTGTTTTATAATTGCTTCAAACATTTGGATAAGGTCAACTTCTAAGATCTCTCACAATAATTTTCTGGCAAGGCAAATCTTGTAAGAAATTATAAATTTTTTCTGAATCCATTAGGATATCTATATACCATAATTCTTCAGCAGCTTTAGAAGAGTTTCCTCAACGGATATTCAACAGGATAGGAGAAGGCTATTGTCTTGAATAATATTTTTGCGCTTTCGTGGAGAATTCCTGATTCCATTTTGTATTCACTTTGTTTTTTCTATCTAATAATGATATTAACAACATGATGACTAATAATTAAATTTCTAGAACTTGGTCCTCTCGTTTTATGATATCCTGAAACGCCAACATTTCAAATTCACAAGATAGAATCTGGACAGGAAGCTTAGAGAAATAAGTGCATTGATAGACGCGTAAAAAGTTAAAAAAGTAATACCCAATGTCAAAAGAAATTGGGAAAACAAAGATTGTGAGGGAGAGGTAGAAAGCACAGGCACACACTCATCACATGCGGGCACACAACATGCATAAAACAAACCTCAAACAACAAATGCTGATTCATTTGCATATGTTACAATTCTACAATTTTTTTATTTCATTAATGCCTAAACATAATAACCACTTTTACTGCCAGGATTAGTATCTCTAAACCATAAAACAGGAGAAAACAAATCAAGAAGCAGACTGAATTTTCAATTAAGAAGGTTAGAGACAAAAAAATTCAAGGAAATGCACAAAAAATAATACTAATTGCCATGGCAGTAGGAGCTTTGAATGGCTAAGGCCAAGAATATAAACATGTTGCCATTGGCAATTTTATTAAGCATACATAAAAAAATAGCACTTCGTCATTTCACATGTTCTGAAAAAGAGGAGATAACATGTATTCTGCAGCAAAAACAATTGTCCTTCATTACTAGTTGCTTAAAACTTCGATAAGAATACGAAGCAAGAGGAGGAAATACATCCAATTCCAAGTTCAAACTATCCCCTTGATTTGGGTTGACTTGAGGTCCTGAGACCTGTCCACACTTAACTCAAATTTAATATAAAGCCATAAATAAACCATATAGGCAAGATACATGACATGACATATATGCTAACCAATCTACAAAACTACATCCTGAACCAGTAGCTTGTTTTCTTTTCTTTTGTTTATTTTTCTAATGAAAGTGAAAGCATAAAACACACTATTTTCTCTATTCATAGTGGCAGGACCTAGTATCGGATTTATTTTTCTCATACACAGGTAGTTTTGAATGGCATACCTTCAGATTGATGACAGCAACTCTGTTAGCTGGTGTTGAGAGCTGTTCACTGATATATGCCATAGACCTCAACATCGGCTCCAATGTAACTCTTGAGAGTTGAAACTTAACCTCCAATTCTGTTGATGGAGTCTTGCCATAATCTTGCAACTGCAGAAGTTCCACAGAAACTATATGTGAGGCCCCAGATCAATTTTTAAATACACAGCTAGAGTAACACAAGTATTATCCACAGTATGTTAAAATTTAAATCACAAGCACCAGAAACAGTTGAATCTACAAAACGGAAAAAGTTTTAAATACTTGAAAAGGTTTCATGTATTTACAGTGCAGGGCTGGCAACTGTCAAAAAACCTCTTCCCAACTTTAGTGGCTAGATGGCAATTTCCAGCCTATTAGAGGTTTTGGTCCATTACATGCATACCTTCAGGTTGATGACAGCAACTCTATTCCCTGGTGTTGAACTCTTGTTCTCCATCACCCAAGTCATTGATTTGAGACAAGGAAGAGCTGCCTATGCAAGAGGTATAAATTGCCAAGTCAGTGGGTTATGCTGTAATTTGAACTCCAAAGGGCATAAAAATTAACACTTAATGCAAAGTTTCCTTTAAGTACCATGTTACCAGGAGGTCCGTCATCACGATGAAGGGACACAGGGGCCATGCGGGGAAGATTCAAATCAGCAACAGATTGAACAGGAGTGCCAGTATCATTCAGATTAAAACGCCGTGTAACTTCATCTTGCGGTGGCCATAACAATGGGGTTGTATCAGATGCTGAAGTTGAGGTCTTCCTATCATCGTTACCAGTCCCACTACCCTGTGAGCCAGGAGGTGAAACTTTGGCAACATTTTTCTTCACAACAGCAACCTTCTTCCCACCTTCTCTAAGAGCACCCATTGCAACATTATAAGTCTCTGCAGCTATTGCCCCTTCCTCTGCATATTTTATGGCTTCTCGACATAGATTGTTATACCGCAAAGTAAGAGACTCTTGGCCAGGCAAATCACCACCACGGTCATCCGTTCCAGCACCAGTTTTGGCATTTCTCGTCCATCGTTTTAAGATGTAATGAGGTGGCAATGTAAGAACATTTGTCACAGTGAAAACTGTCAAAACATGTCTACAAAGAATGCCTGAATACTCAAACATTTGGCAGCTGCAGTTTGCTCTCATTTCCGGAAAGTTTAAGGTAACAATATAGGCCCTTTGGTCATCCTCAAATTTTGCAACCCTGAATGTGCTGATAGCGGCATCACCCTCGATCCTATTAGCAGTATATACAAAAGTTTCAACTAACTCTTCTTGAAATTTGGCAAATATTTTCCTTGTATAAAGATTTGCTGCCTGTTTCTCCATCGGAGATGGTGTCCTCAAAACTGGTGATGTGCAAATTGTATCAAAATCTGCTTCTAACTCCCTTTCGAACCAATTATCTAATGCTCTTTCATACTGTCTAAAGAACATTGGTAACGTGGTCTGTTGGTTCACATAACCATCAAAAAAGAACCATCAAATCCTTGATTTGGGGACATTACAGCAAAAAAGGAATCCCGGAAGTACGCTGGGACCCATTGAGCACGAGCATCATACAATGATTGAAGCCAGTCATGTCCTCTCAAATCATATTTATCAAGAATATCACTCCATGAGGTTTCAAACTCCTCGATAGTTTCAGTCAAGTTGATACAATTGTAAAGTTCCAACTGAAAATTGGGATGTGCATTACATACATGAGCCAATTTTTCCTGTCCTTCTCTTAAAACATGCCATTTACTAATACAGTGTCGGGAATCAGGAAACACCTGAGAAACTGCTGTCTGTATGGCCTTGTCTTGGTTGGTGATTATGGAAGCAGGTTGTTGATCATACATTGCTGTCAGAAATGTCTTGAACAACCAAACAAAAGAAGCTTCAGAATCATCAAGAAGTATTGCACAGCCAAATAAAATTGTTTGGCCGTGATGGTTCAAACCTGTAAATGGGGCAAATGGCACCCTATATTGATTCACTCGAGAATTCGTGTCAAACGTAACTGCATCACCGAAATGAGTGTAAGCTGTTCTTGACCTTGCATCAGCCCAAAAAACATTAGCCATGCGATTTTCATCATCGAGTTGTATTGCATAAAAGAAACCAGGATTCTCAGCCTGCATTTTCTTGAAATACTCCAGCAGATTCTGAGCATCCCTTCCTAGCGTTCTCTTTTGGTTATTGGACCTAACAATATAATTCACTGCTGTAGGAGACTTAACGACACGATTTGGTTCGGCAGGAGGGTTCCTAACTCCATGATTTGTCTCTGCTACAGGCGTTCGGTTTCCATCCATGGAAAGATACATTACACCACTTGGAACAACTCTCCCTACTTGGCTTACAACACTTGGAACAACTCCCACTCCTTGGCCAACACCACTAGTAACAACTGCTGCTGCTTGGCCAACACCACTTGGAGCCACTCCCACTCCTTGCCCAGTTTCGGCAACACTCTTTGCAGCACCAGCAAAATGCCTGCGGGGCCGAAGGTAGTGCACTTTACTGGGATTAACAGTTGAATGGTTATGCTCCTTTACAAAGTGTGTCACAACCCATTTGCCTTGACTCTTTAATTCTATTCTAAGCATTGCATGACAACTATCAGCGGACCTCCTCTTCAAACCCTCCCTGCCACATAAAAACTCCCTAGCAGCTATCGCCCCATCAGTTTTAGGGCGGGTAAAGTGAGCAACTTTGGTGGTAAAACCTAGACGTCTAGCATACTCATCGTAGAAAGTCTTGGCAGCATTCTCCGAATCAAATTCCATGCTGACACAAGGCTCATGCAGCTCAGCAACCCCATCCTCATCATGCTCCCCATTATTCGCTTCTCCACTGTCATTTGGTTCCGCATCTCCATCATAGGCCACCCCACGATGACTCATCCCCTCTTCATTGTCAATCACATGAACCTCCATACCAAAAATCTTCCGTTTCCAAAGCTAAGCCCTAGCAAACACTCCGTAACTCCACTTGCATTTCAATTCTCTATTGAAGCAAAAGGTGCACACATAATCTGCACAAAATTTGGCCTAGAAAACTCAAAAAAATGATCTCTGAGACACAAATTTAAAAGGAAAAGGAAAAGGAAAACTAGAACAAATTAACAAAGAAAGTAACGTTAAGTTTTTATTTATATAAACCAAAAACAGCATAGTTATTAACGAAAACTTTCAAAAATAAAAACGACTGCAACTTTCATGGTTAACCAGCTGATACAAACAAACCCCAAAATCAAACGACACAAAAGCACACCAAAAACGACAACAGAATTCAATTCAAGTCAACTCAATTCAATTCAACGAACTGAAAAAACTAAAACCCTAGAAATAGAGGAATCAAGTTTAACTAATAACAGCAGAGGGAGAAAGAGAGAGCACCTGGTGATTGAAACTGAGTGAATTGAGACAGGGAGAGAGAATTTGTAATTAGGGATTGATCAAAGTTCTGATGTTTTATTTTTTATTTTTGAATTGGAGGAGGAGAGTGGAAAAGAGAGTGAAATTAAGAAGTGGAAAACCCTAAAACTTTTTTTTGAAATTTGCTAAAGAAGCCCGTAAAATTTAGTTCATTACGCAATGAAACCCTCGTGCGCTGGTGTGGGACTGTGGGTGGTCCGTTATGTGATCTGGCTGGTAACTGGGTAGGAGATAATCAAAAGTGATCCTTCAAAATTTAATTTATTGTCAAAAAAGTTATTGGATTTAAAACTTTTATACAATTGTTTATTTAATGCTTCCCTAATAATGAATGACAATACATATTATATAATAAAATGATGATAAATTAGACATAAAACCTTATATGATACATAATCTTTTAATTTTTTATACGAAAAGTCATTTGCAATTTAATGTTCTTATTTTTTTTTATCAACTCAATAGTGCTAATCGCTTTACCTTTACATACAAAAGGAAAAAATATTCAATTTGATAAAAAAAATTTCATGTGATAACACATTAAAAATAGGTTTTGAGAAAGTTTTTGATTGATGAGGATGGAGGCAAGGTTATGTGCTAAAATCCACATGAAATTTTATAATTATTGGTATTTTGTAATTGATATTGATTTAAAATCGTTTGATTTTTTCGACTATTGTTGAAACCATATAAAAATTATGAAAAATATTTTCTTTATTTTGTCATTATCTGATTTGGTAGTAAAATTCACTTGACATTTTATAGTTATTGGTTTTTTGTAATTGATATATATTTAAAGATCACTCGGTTCTTTTAATCGTTGTTGAAATCATGAATAAAAAAATAATAATTGTTTTATTTTCTTGTTTCTTTATTTAAATTTGAAAACATTTTTTTTTTGTTTTTTATTTAAATTTGCAAAAGAGTAGGATTGAAGTAATAAAAGATATACTAAAAACATATCAAAGGCAAAATGTGAGGTTTTGTATTAAAGAATGAGTAAGTAGCATTTTATCTTAATTTGTTGTTAACTTAACAAAATATGTCACATATTTTAGTTTTAGTTTTTAAAAATTGTTATTATTGATTGTTTAAATACTTACATTTTATTTTATTGTTTTTGTTAAAAACATGCAATATTTTTATATTTTTACCCTACATTTATTTTATTAAAAATTAAAAGGAGACTATCTTAGATAAATTTACTTGCTTATAATCTTTGTTTAATAGCATTTATTTTACATTTTTTTCAAATGCAAAAATAAAAAAAACAATAAAAGCTAAAATTCTAGATTCTAAGGTTTTTTTTTTTTAGGTCAACGACAGAAATATGTCTCATAAGAGTTAAAAAATATAATTGGAAAAAGCTAAAGTACAAGGACTTAATCAACTTTTTATTAAGTCTAGGGATGCGATCAAACCTCTTTTAGAAGTTGAGGGCCTAATAGGCTAGTAAACATCACCAGATCAAACCCATCTCTCTGTTGTTTATGCAGCTCAGAAAAACCCAAAACCCCGCCAGAGAGATCGGGAATCAGAGACTGACTCAGACTCTGAACAACTCAAAATTCGCAGAGAAAAGAAGCAAAGAAGACCAGACAGACAGACAGATAGAATGAAGAATATACCTCTGCTTTTGATGGGATGTGGAGGGGTTGGTCGCCAACTTCTCCAACACATTGTCTCCTGCCGATCCCTTCATGCCCAACAGGTTCCTTTTTCTTTCTAATCATTCTCTTGAAGTTCAATACATTTTCTCTTAAAATTGGTTTCCGTAAGACAATAGAAATGTGCATTCAAAATCGACTTTGAACATTTTCATGTGTGAAAGTTGAAAACCTCTGTGTTTTGGTCTTTTGGGGTGGCATTGGTAGGGAGTCCATTTGAGAGTAGTTGGAGTTTGTGACAGTAAATCGTTAGTTGTTGCACCTGATGTGATTACAAGAGAGTTAAATGATCAAACTTTATCCGAAGTTTGCCGGGTCAAGTCGAATGGTTCATCTCTTTCAGCACTAGGCGATTTGGGTGAGTGCCACTGATAAATGTATCTTTGGTTTGATGATGGCCAGGATGGATTTAATTTATGTTTCTCTCCTAATGAAGGTGAATGTCAAGTATATGGGAGTTCGGAATTGAAGAGAAAAGTTATGGACATTTCAGCTCTTCTCGGGAAAGAAACAGGTTGGTGCTGTTTACGAGTTTTAATTTTGATCTTATGGTTTTGTCAGCTAAAGTCATCAAAGGTTTAGAATTTTCCTTATCGGTGCATAAGCAGTTGCTTGCATTTTTTTTTAAAGAAAAAATTTAAATTCTTATTATTTATTATGGAATTTGATTGTTTCATGGTTTGAACTGAAGCTTGAAGTGGGGCAAGCATTCGGGCTTTGAAATGCTAAAATTTCCATCACGAGCTTATTTTGATTTTATTATGTGATAGGTTTGGCCTTGGTAGATTGTTCTGCTAGTTCTGAGACCATTGGAGTGCTAAATCAAGTTGTTGATATGGGATGCTGCATTGTCCTGGCAAATAAGAAGCCTCTTACTTCTACAATGGTAATATACTTTTTAGTAGCCATCCTTAATAGTCTGTGACAAGAAAAGTGTTATGGGATAAGGGGCTTTAGATGTTAGATCCATAATTGTGCCATTTTGTTTCATGCGGTACAACACTAGTAAATCAATCAACTTGAATGGGTCCATTCTGAAAACACAGTGACACCCTTACTATGATGACAAGAAAGAACTGAAGCAAGATGAAAATTCATTTTCTTTCTTCTAGGTTTTATGATGAATGATGATTTACATTAAGATTCGGTGCTCCTACATTCTTTTTTCTCTGCTTCTCTCAGTACAAATTCATACTTTTCTTCTGTCCTTTGTTTTTAAAACTGTGTCTGCAATTTCATTTTCATTCCTATTCCAGAAGATGGATTCAAGCTTCCAATCACTGTAGGTTTTTATTTCAGCTGAGCCTGAGAATTATTACTGAGAGCTTTTGTAATGTCTTGCAGGAAGATTATGACAAATTGGTCTCTTATCCGCGTCGTCTCCGGCATGAGTCAACTGTAAGTGTATTTGTTTGTCAATGTAGCTAGCACAATCTATTTCCTTAAATTTTCTTTGGAATACAAAGAGTGCAGGATTTGAAACTGAAAATTGTATTCGTGTAATTGTTATTGCAATTTGCTGTTAGTCAATGATAAATTGTTGCAAAATGTTACTTTTTGTTTGGTGGTGTTCTTGCCTGGGGCTGAAGTTTGATGGTTGTGCATCATCTGCCATGTTAGACTTGTGGCTGTCTTGTATCAGATTTCAGATTTGTATCAACAAATATCAAATTTGAGCCTTTTGAAATAAATTCAGTCTTTTGTTTGGTAGTTGGGGAATATATGTAAATCTAAAATTTTCTTTTGTAATGTAAAGAATAGCAAAACGTTGTTTTAGAGTCTTTAAATCTGTTTCTGTCACTGCACTCATGCTTGATTACCATCTCCTAGCTGATATAAATAAGATTTGTTTGGTTTTCTTTTCATGTTTAATGCAATAATAATTATTTGATGCTATGATCTGTCTTAGCGTAAGGAAAACCTGCATGCAAGATTTCTACTGACTTGAAGTTGTTCTTGATAGGTTGGTGCTGGCCTTCCTGTTATGGCATCCTTAAATCGAATACTTTCATCAGGGGACCCTGTCCATCGCATAATTGGGAGTTTGAGTGGTACCTATTTTCGCAAGGCTTTGATTCAATGTTTAAACTCTTAGATTATGCATCTTTTGAATTGTGCATTTCAATATGAGTGTGTTTGCACCTGCTTGTTGATTCTTTTATGTGCTTCATGTGGACTTTTATAACAGGTACATTGGGATATGTAATGAGTGAGGTTGAGGATGGAAAGCCATTGAGTGATGTTGTGAAAGCTGCTAAAAATCTTGGATTCACTGAACCAGGTTTCTATATAATTTTTTCAGTTGCATTTGAATCCCATTCTTGGCAAGTGAAATTGGTGAATTTAAAGTATGCATGCCTGCATAGATAAACGCATTGAAGTTGGTAATAAGTTTAAAATAATGTTCATGAAATTCTAATTTGAGCTGCAATTGGTGTTTGACCCAAAAGACTTGTATATGCTTCAATTTCATCGGATCTTGACAGGTGACTATTGGGGCCAGCTTATTGTTGATTAGTTGTTTACAGCTATCTCTTTTGTTGGTGCAACTGTTGTTTAGAATATGACTAAAGAGATTGTTGACTAGTTCTGGTTGAGAAAAAAAAGTGGATTCAAGTTATATTACGTACTTGAAAGCTATCCATGAAAATCTAATTTTAATTCAGTTATTTCTTAAAACAATTTTGCTGATTGTACTTTTGATTATTCTACATTTCTACTTTCTTACATTACAGGTCTTTAATTATGAATGTACTTGTCTTGGTGACTAAAAGATACACCTATAACTTCCCACCTGCCTAAACATTAAAAAGAAAACATAGCTAAGGGTTTGCTTGTTGCCGAAAAGGATGATCATTTTTTGTTTTATTTGACCTTTTAACTCCACCTTTGGTCACTAGACACGTATAGTTTGACATTTCATCTAGCAAAGACATTTAGGAATTTTGACTTTCTGTCAATATGGTTTTTTAACTTAGCGTGTTTGCTGCAGATCCACGTGATGACCTCAGCGGGATGGATGTTGCAAGGAAGGTTTGCATTCATACACTGATCTGCTTGACATTGGAATTTGATCATCTGTACACTATTAAGTTTCCTGGTTTCTAGTTGTGAAGCATGCAAATTTAAATAGACCTTAAAGAACTAATATAGCATGTTATTGCATACACACATTCTGTTGTTTCTTGAGTCCTATTATTTTTCATTTTCTTTGTCAAGAATATGATATTCTTCAAGTTATTTCTGTACATTTATTCTTTCCAAGAATATTCTTCCATTAGTTGAAATAATTTCATTGCTCAACTATTCAGGTTCTAAATTTTAACTTCTTTCAGCTATACCATTATGTTGCTTAAAAATGATCTTTTTAATTCACAAAAATTACATGTTAAATAGTTGCAATTATCCATGATGATATCCTTGATCTTAAACTTGTTTATGCTCCTAACAACTTTGGATGTTGATTGTGTAATTCTTCAACAATAACACATTCAAAGTGAGATGGTTATACAATAGTCTTGAAAGTCAACAATAATAGGTCTTTTGCTGATGAGAATATAGAAGAAATTGCTCGAAGGTCATGCTTGTATTTTATCTGCTTTTCTGTTTGAGGGATGATTTATCCTCCTTGTTTTCACTTCTTTCCACCCGTTGAAGGGTTCTTCTGTTATATATATATGAAAATCTTCATGTTGTGTTCTCATAACTTTACCTTATTGTTCTTGGATTCTTAACAGGGTTTAATTCTTGCGCGACTTCTTGGGAGAAGAATTAACTTGGATACCATTAAAGTCAGTTCCAAGTCATTCTTTTGTGTCTTCTATTTGATCAAAGTTATAATATACCAATAGGAATGATTGTTTCAAACCCAAACCATTGATGAGCTAGCAGATTCTTGAATCACTATTTCTTCTGCTTTGTAGATTGAGAGCTTGTACCCTGATGAAATGGGACCTGACAAGATGTCTGTTGAGGAATTTTTGGGTAGTGGTGTTGTATCGCTTGACAATGATGTCCAAGAAAGAGTTAAAAAGGCTTCGTTAAATGGCAATGTGCTTCGTTATGTTTGCGTAATTGAAGGCTCAAGGTATTTTTTCCAATCTTTTTAATGTATGTAATCTTAAGGGATGTATTTGTCTGCATAAACGTGTCTGGGTGTGAGAGTGCACGTGCTCTTGCACAAGTATTTGGGGGACCCAATGAGACAATCTGTAATGATGTCTGAAATATTAAATCTATGCTGTAGCTAAGTTTCGTCTAAACTATCAAATGTAGCTTGTGTAAGTAGTTTACTGAGTTCCTTGACATGGTACCTATGTTACTTGGCAGGTGTGAAGTTGGCATTCAAGAGCTCCCTAAGGATTCTCCTTTGGGTAGATTGAGAGGCAGTGACAATGTGGTAAGCCCTAATTTCTCCTGATTTTCATCCCCGCTTTTTTTGTTTGATCCCTTCCCTGTCGTATATAATTGAACTGAGTACTAATGGTTTCTGGTGATGGAATATCAAGATTCTATTGTGATTGCAATTGATAGTCTCTTTGCAAAATCACATTTTAAGTGACTCCTTCACAATTTTGTATCCATCTTCAAAAAAGAAAAAAAAAAACAAGTTGATAAATAGCAGAATAGTCAAACATGTTGCAATAGATCTCCTCCTTTATGGTCCATCCAAGCCAAATTTTCTAATGCAGACCCACTGAACCATTGTCTTTGGTAGTACTTCTAAGTTCTGAGAACTGGGATAGTGTAATTACTCACACAGAGAGTTGGAGAGGATCTAATGACTGAAAGGCGTAAACCACTGGTTGAATGTCTTCCTCCGTGTATTTTAAGGACTTAGGAAACATGGGAAGATATATTGATCATGCATTGTGTAGGATACTTGTGATTTTCCTTAGAATGTGATGGTCACCTGTGCTATGCAAATCATGTGCAAAGCTTGATCATGCTTCATCTGATGCAATTGCAGCTGGAGATATACAGCCGATGTTACAACAAACAACCTTTGGTTATTCAAGGTGCTGGAGCAGGCAATGATACCACAGCAGCTGGTGTACTTGCTGATATCCTGGATATTCAGGATTTATTTCCTTCAGAAGAGTAGATAGTGCATAATTCATGTGGAAGATTAAAGAGTTGAAGTTACCTGGTGATTGTCGTGTCAAACAGAGATGCCAGTTCTGGAAAAAACATTGAGTGGAGAATTTCATGTAGCGGCTACTGTTTCATTTGGCTCAAAATTTGTCGGTTTCACATGGGAGCTACTGATGCAGGTGGCTCAAAGTTTTTGAGATGTTGATGTGTCCATGAAAAAGTAAGAGTTAAAAATAAAATTCTGTATATGTGAGGCATGCTTATCGTGTCAGGATGCTAATCATATTGGGCTATGATTGTCATTTTGGAGTTTGGATATGTGAGCTCACAGAAATTAAAGAATACCAAGTTTGTAGTCTTTTGAGTGTGATGTCATGTATTAGCCTAATGCACTGTTCTAGTTTAATAACGAAAGGAGGCCTTTGAGCCTCTGTCATTTGAATGGTAATACCAAAAGACTGATTGTTATAAATTGGTGCTGGAAAATTGGTAAGTGATTTCTTTGGTCATGGCCCATTTTTTACTTGTGACTATTTGGCGTTTTTTCTTCTTAAATCTTTAAGTTCTATTTTACGAGGAAAAAAATAGGGTTTTACTTTTTACTCACCATATTTTGCATAGGCATTTTCTTTATACAAGGTAACAAATATATCCCCTAAAATTTACCACATCTTATCTGTATGATTATATTGTAATTTTTAAGAAAATTATGAAATGAATAAATCAAAACGCACATCATTAAGAATTATTAAGTTGGTGGTCTTTTAATGCATCAAAAAGGGAAGGAAAAAAACTTGAAAGTGTTCTTTTTCATAGCATCCATGTTACGATGAACAATATCAAACAGAGTCTGAGTAGAAAGTGCTGGGTCAAAAGCTGGCGATTTCAGTTTGATAAAAATAGCATCCTGTAGGACCTCCATCAGGCAAAAGGGCACACTTGACAGGACCTTGAGCTCCTTCTTCGACGGGCATGGGTCCTGTATGCCAGTTTATATCTGTATTGACATAGCCAGGATGAACACAGTTGATCAGCATGTTAGGATTATTTTTGGCCAGGACTCTAGTGTAGGCATTAAGGGTGGCCTTGGAGATGCTATAAGCTGGCAGCATCAATGACCATCCACCAGCTTCAAGTGTATTCTCTTTCAAATCTTTCAAGAATCTCTTCAATATTGAATCCAGTTTCTCTTCATTCAGTGTCTCCAAATCCCCAAGCTCATTTCTAAGATCGTCTCCTCGAATTCTCTGCAAATAACAATGCCTTCATCAAGAAAGGTTGACATAATGATTTCATTGCAGTGAAACATTAAGCAAACGGTTGATGTTGTTCAAATTCTATATTCCCTGAAGAGGCAGAAGTGGTTTCTCTTCATTCTGTATTCCCTGAAGAGTTTCTTTACATAATTTTTATCCCTGAAGTGCAGAAAGTGGTTTCTTTCACCACTTTGGGTTTCGAAGTAAGTGACAGGAATTAGACTCAGTGTGGATGCCCGTTATCCTCAGAATATTCATACTACTAATGCGAAGCATATAAACATCAATATCTTTGCAAGGTAACCATTCTACAAGTACAGCGTCTTTAGAGAGACAACAAGGCCAAGTTTTAGCTTCTTGGTTAGCAGCAATTCAAACAGGCTCATGCAGCCAGTTCCAATAGAGTTGGTACATGAGTACACAAAGAACATTTCAAAAATGATAACGATATGCAAAAGTATGATGCTGGGAGTTGATTGTCCATCAAAGAAAAGAAGAAAAGATGATGACTGTGTGCTGCACTTACCCATAGCTCAGCCCGGAGAGATGAGACATTAACTACCCTGGCCCCTGAAGGGGAAAGCTGTAGAAGTGGTAGGAGAGCTTCTGTTACTCTTTGGACGCCGTAAAAATTAGTGTTTAAGCATTCTACTCCTTTCTCGTAAGTTGTTTTAATGGCTTGTTGAACCATGTTGGCTGCTTTTCCTGAAAGCTGCACGAAGAAGCCGTTGTAATAAGGATGTGTTTTCTGGTTGAAATTAACTGACAAGCATTCATGATTTAGAATGATGCTCACTCACCCAAGTTTCAGGATCTATATCCAAGGCCTTGAGGCGTTCTTCGTCAACTACAACTCCAGAAGCTCCAGCATTGTTAACCTGCCCAAAATAAATGCATCACAAAATGAGGGAAAACAAGAAGGAAAAAGCCTACATGCACTCCAAACCCATGAAACCACACTCGCCATCCATAAGTAACTTACATTTTCTTTTTGTCCCAAATCACTCTAACATTTAGCTAAACCCTATTTGAAGGGTCCTTTCAAGTCAATAAGGACAAATCATCTTAATTTATTTTTCAAATAAATTAAGCTTATACTTTACCAACTAGGCTTCCCAATAGTCAGTACCATCAGCGCAGACAACTTAAAGACAGCTAAAGATTTGCATCTTCGTGGTCATCAAGAATCCTAACTACAGTAACTAAACTGTAAAGCAAGAAGATTCCTTGGCAGATCAATAGACTTAATTGTACTTGAAAATGAACCCTTACCAAGATGTCAAGCCTTCCAAATTCATCCTTGATAAACTTGGCCAAGGACTCGATACTAACTGGGTCCAAGACATCAAGTTGATGAAAAACAACATTTGTCAAACCCATTTTGTGTAGCATAGAAGTGGCATCCATCCCTCGCTTCTCATCTCTAGCTGTCAGCACCACTGTAACTTCTTTAGAAGCAAGCTGCCTCACTGTCTCAAGACCAATGCCCTTGTTCGCTCCTGTCACCACTGCATACCTACGACGAAAGCCAAAAACACCCCAATCATTAAACAATGAAACAAATTCTTGGCCAAGACCTGATTGACCAAAAAAAGAAAAAGAAGAAGATGTTTTACTTCTCCACTGTTGAATGGTTGCCATTGGTTGCCATGGCTGTAATCTTAGGATGATTTCTTGCGATGATTTGGTTTTTTCGAATCAGATGAACCTGTTGATGTAAGCAAGTTAAATTAAAGCAGTAGCTACCAGGAAACAGAATCCTTAAATTAGCCATCACAGGTCATTTAGTCCAGTCAAGTACTGTACAAAAGATTGCATATCCTAGTCTGTCAGTTGCCTAAAGACTTTTGGGGACAGTAATTAAGCCCGGTTTGATCGAGACTTGGATCCAATCCATTAAAAGAAATCCATCGGTCAGCTTTACATCGTTTTGTTAGAATAAAATATGAGGCAAAAATAGAATCTATGTTGTCATATTACACTGTTTGGCCTTGGATTGTTACGTGGAAAGTGAGAGTTTTGAGTATACATCATCAACCTTCTTTCTTTTTTTTTTTCCTCCGCGAGGTATTTTATTGTTATTCGGTTTTAGAGAAAAAGAAAAAAAGAAAAAAGAAGCTTTCATGAATTTTTTATTTAATGTTATTTAACAAAATACTTGTAAGTTACTTTTCAAGATTACTTATATTCAAGCATTGATTAGAAATCGAAAATTCAAATATAAATTTTAAATACCATCTCTCTCTTTGGGAAGTATCTATTTAAAATAAAAATAATATGTCAAATATTTAAACATGAAATAATATTATAATATGTGTCATTTATGGGGAAATAGATTAGGGGATTATAATAATATTAAGAGTAAAAATATTAAATAAATTATAAACTCCAGACAACATTTCTTAAAACATTAATTGTATAATGGAATTTTTCTACTTTTTTCATAAGTGATTTAAAATTCAATATATCTCTTAATAGTTATGTAAATCTAAAGAAAAAAATCATTTAAGACTTTATAGCTAAAATGTATTCAATTTTTATATCTTGCTGTAAGCATAATCAATATGCTTCACTGTAAAACAATAAAGTCACCTAATTTTAATTTTGTTTGAATGGAATTTGACCCATTCGAACAATAATTGAGAAACTAAAAAAAGGTTTATTACAATGCAAACAAATTTAAAAATGCTTACCTTCCAGCAAACTTTTTTTCTCCAGTGAAAGATGAATTCAATCTTGATGGGTGCAATCCGAACAAAGATTCTATTATTTTAAAAAGATAGAAAATCTGCTACAAATTATTGATTATTGAGCAAAGGAATGGTATTGAATCCTCTCTAAGCAAACGAGGAAAAATGAAGCATGAAAATAGAGCAGATGGAAGTGGAGAATGAGAGTCGTTAAATTTTAGTTACTCCAAATAACACTATTTACGAGGAAAAAAATTGTCCTAAACATTTTCTTTTTAAATTACAAAAATCAACCACAATTCTCAATATGATACCCCAAACCCTAACCACACCTTCACTGACTGAGTATGCAAGGAAAAAGTGGGGAGATTTTGGACAAAAGTGATTGGGCCGCCCTTGGAAATGCCGACAGCCTCAAAGATCCAGGGAAAGATACCAAGATGCCTCATCACATCCGTGGGCAAACTAGCCTAAAAAGGACAAGTTGTCGGTTAATTTGTATAGCTAAGCAGGTCAAATGGGCCTGCTCCCTGGGTTAGATTGGTTGTAAGAAGATTTGGGCTTCTGTGAGAACTTAAACATGGGCTTTTTATTTCGTTAGAGACTGAGCGCGTACGGGTAAGGGTAAAGCGTTTGCATCAAGCCAACTAACAAAGCGCGTAAAGCTAGTGAGTGGGGCCGCGTAAAGCAACCTTGGGTCATTTGACCGACTCTGTCAGCTATAAATACAGCCTCTTAGGCTCGCTTTTTCATTAGGCTACAAGGCTCGAGGGCTTTCTCTCTCTGTTTGTTTTGGTAACGATATCCTCTCTCCTTTTTCTGCGATTTAAGTTAGGGTTTTATTTCGTTTTTCGATATTTGAATTTCGAGTTTAGTTTCTCAATCTATAAATTTATCTTTTTGACTCAAAGCTGGGGTTCTGGGTTAGATTGATTGCAGTATGATTGATTTTTTGGTTTCCATTCTTTCCTCGATCTTTGAATTTAGGGTTTTGTTCTAGATCTACGAATCTGGGTTTTTGACACAAAAAGCTAGGGTTCTGCTGCAGATTGTTGGAGCTTGATTAATTCTTTGGTTTCAGAATCGGAAGGAAGAATGAAGCGGACATAGAATTGGTTGAGATCTTGTCGTCGTGGAGGAGATTTTGACATGATTTTTGGAACTGAGAATTACTATGAGACTAAATACGGTTTTTTTCCCTAGCTCTTATTATTCTGAACTTGATGGTTTGAAGAATTTCTGATGTGTTCCGCCTATTTCTGCTTCGAATAATCGGGTTTAGGGTTTCAAGAAACCGTGGACTAACATGGAATAAATTACAAAATACGGTTTTCTTTCCTTAGCTCGTCTTTATTATTCTGAACTTGATTATTCAAGAATTTCTGATGTCTTCATCCTGGCTCTTCTTTGCATAATGAATTGATAATTATGCTTTGGATAATTGGGTTAGGGGATTCAAGAACACGTGGACCGACATGGAATTAATGCCATAGAGATAATTCAAGCAAATATGGTCAACACGGAGCTAATGGTATGGGTCTAAAAGGGATCTGTTGAATAAGAGTGACAAGGGAGTACATTATGTTTCGATACCTAGCTGCGGTCTAAGGGTTACTTTAGTTTTGCTTTTGCATCTTGTACACTTCCAATTTTTTTTTTTTTCAATATAAAATATTTGAACTATGAGAGTCTTTTAGTATGCGTTAGTTAACTGAGTTCCTTCTTAATTCTTTGTTTCATTTCTTTTATCTCATGGTGTTGGATAATTTTATTTGTTCTTTGTTATGATTTGTGATGTATAGTCAAACGAATTAAAGTCTTGAGGTTAATCAAGGAGATAATTCAAGAAATCATGGAACAAGGAACTAGGATTATAATCAACCAAGCAAAGGCTCTGCATGATGGTGTCTTGTGGGGCTGGTTATGTGAGAAGCTTAACTGTCTGGTTGTTTAATTTTTTCACCATCCATTTTTTTTTTTTTTTGCATTCATGACTTACAGCATAGGATACGATTTTTGTAGGATTGTTTATACAGCTTTTTTAATTTTAACTTATGGTGGAGAATGGTGTTGCTGTGTTAGGATAGGAAACAACATGGTGTTCTGATCCACGTCTTGATCCTGATGATGCTTTCTACATTGACTCAAGCGTCTTTTAAGTTTGTTTTGCATGCCAATCAACAATTTATAACGTCACCACTTATCTTAGGTTTTATTTCCAGGACACGTTTAGCTATTTCAAGGAACATATGATGAAGATTAATGAGGGAGTGTTACTTCCCTTCTTTGGTTATAACACCTTATTGCTTTTTCCCTTAAATTGAAGTTTTGAGTTTACAAATCCTATTTTATGTGTTTTTAGGTTCTGACTACAAACAACATGGACTAGGAGTGACAAGGAAGTGCATTATGTTTTTGACACTTTGCCGTGTTTCGAGTGTTGTTTTGGTTTTGTTTTTGTAACTTGTACACACTTTGTTTTGTTTTTGTAACTTGTACGCTTTTTTTGTTATAGAAGTGTAGGATCTGAGCTCAATGTGTCGACGTGCCTTTTCCAGGATGTTCTAAGGGATATTTGGAATCGGCATATTTCAGGAATGAAGTTGACACAATTTGCTTGGGGGAGTCCCTCTGTTTTTCTTTCCTTTCCTTGACGCTTTTCATTTTTTATGTTGTTGTGTTAATGACTAATTATTTTAAGCTTCAGTTGGTTTCTGTTTTCCGAACTTGGGACTTCGAGAGAATCACTTTTTATGTTTTAATTTTTCAGAAAAGAAAGTGATGTGTGGGGAGAAGGATCAAACCAGGAGTGTTAGACGCATTGCTTACTCCCTCTTTTCCTGCTTACATCGTTTGTTTTTGCACTAATACAATGGTTTTGTCTAACTTTTGGTTGTTGTATTTCTTCCAGGGCCATGTAGTTGGACTACGAGAGTCTTCTTCTTTGCATTAGTTAACTGAGTACATTTTTCATTCTTTATCTCATTTTTTTGTCTCATGGTGTTGTATAATTTTATTTGCTCTTCATTGTGATTTGATAATTTCTGCTGCATTCCTTCTGAATCTGTTTTGTGTCATTCGGCTTACAGTTTCACTAAATGTTTGAAGAAATTGGTGGACTAACAAAAGAATTAATGCCGTGAGAGAAACTTAACTGTCTGGTTGTTTAACTGTCACTGTCTATTTGATTTATGCATTCCTGACTTAATTGTAGTGGTATATGATCTTTGTAGGATTCTTTTCACACCATTTTTAATTTTAACTTATGGTGGAGAATGGGGTTGCTGTGTTAGGAAACAACTATGGTGGTCCGATCCATGTCTTGATCATGATGATGCTTTCAACTTTGAATCTAGTGTTCCTTAAGTTCGTTTAGCATTGCAATCACCAGATTATAGTATCACCACTTCCTAGATTTCATCTACAGGACACATTTTGGTCTTTCGAGGAACATATGGTGAAGATTACTCAGGGAGTTTTAATCTTTATTGATTGTTTTTCCCCTTTGTTCTTTGGTTATAACACTTTTATCCCTTTTTCCCTCACATTGAAGTCAGTGTCCAAATCCTATTTTATGTGTTTCTAGGTTGGGATTATAAACGACTTGGACGAAGACCGACAAGGAAGCACAACATGTTTTCGACACCTCGCTGTCTTCTAAGTGTTATTTTAGTTTTGTGTTTGCATTTTGTACAAATCTATTGTTGTAATAGAAGTGTAGGTTCTGAGGCCAATGTGTGCACGTGTGTTCTCCAGGATGTTCTAAGGAATATTTGGAATCGGCATAATTCAGGAATGAAGTTCACACAATTTGATTGGGGGAGTCCCTCTTGTTCTTTCCTTTCCTTGACGCATTTAATTTTTGATGTTGTTGTGTTAATGACTATTTAGTTTAAGCTTCAGCTGGTTTGTGTTTTCCGAACTTGGGACTTCGAGAGAATCACTTTTTATGTTTTATTTTTTCAGAAAAGAAAGTGATGTGTGGGGAGAAGGATCAAACCAGGAGTGTTAGAAGCATTGCTTACTCCCGCTTTTACTGCTTACATCGTTTGTCTTTGCACTAATACAATGGTTTTGTCTAAGTTCTGGTTGTTGTATTTCTTCCAGGGGCATATAGTTGGACTACTACAAGTCTTCTTTTTTGCATTAGTTAACTGAGTACATTTATGTTTGAAGAAATTGCGGACTAACAAAAGAATTAATGCCATGAGAGAAACTTAACTGTCTGGTTGTTTAACTTTGTCACTATATATTTGATTTATGCATTCCTGACTTAATTGTAGTGGTGTATGATCTTTGTAGGATTCTTTTCACACCATTTTTAATTTTAACTTATGGTGGAGAATGAGGTTGCTGTGTTAGGAAACAACAATGGTGGTCCAATGCATGTCTTGATCATGATGATGCTTTCAACTTTGAATCTAGTGTTCCTTAAGTTCGTTTAGCATTGCAATCAGCAGATTATAGTATCACCACTTCCTAGATTTCATTTACAGGGCACATTTTGGTCTTTCGAGGAACATATGGTTAAGATTACTCAGGGAGTTTTAATCTTTATTGATTGTTTTTCCCCTTTGTTCTTTGGTTATAACACTTTTATCCCTTTTTCCCTTACATTGAAGTCTTGAGTGTCCAAATCCTATTTTATGTGTTTCTAGGTTGGGATTATAAACTACTTGGACTAAGAGCGACAAGGGAGTACACATGTTTTGGACACCTCGCTGTCTTCCAAGTGTTATTTTAGTTTTGTGTTTGCATTTTTTACAACTTTATTGTCGTAATAGAAGTGTAGTTTCTGAGGCCAATATGTGCATGTGCCTTCTCCAGGATGTTCCAAGGAATATTTGGAATCTGCATAATTCAGGAATGAAGTTGACACAACTTGATTGGGGGAGTCCCTCTGTTTTTCTTTCCTTTCCTTGACGCATTTAATTGTTTATGTTGTTGTGTTAATGACTATTTAGTTTAAGCTTCAGTTGGTTTGTGTTTTCTGAACTTGGGACTTCGAGAGAATCATTTTTTTTTGTTTTATTTTTTCAGAAAAGAAAGTGATGTGTGGGGAGAAGGATCAAACCAGGAGTGTTAAAAGCATTGTTTACTCCCTCTTTTCCTGCGTACATTGTTTGTCTTTGCTCTAATACAATGGTTTTGTCTAAGTTTTGGTTGTATTTCTTCCAGGGTCATATAGTTGGACTACGAGAGTATTCTTCTTTTCATTAGTTAACTGAGTACATTTTTAATTCTTTGTCTCATGTTTTCGTCTCATGGTGTTGTATAATTTTATTTATTCTTCATTGTGATTTGATAATTTCTGCCTGCATTCTTTCTGAATCTGTTTTGTGTCATTGGGCTTGCAGTTTCACTAAATGTTTGAAGAAATTGCGGGCTAACAAAAGAATTAATGCCGTGAGAGAAACTTAACTTTCTGGTTGTTTAACTTTGTCACTATCTATTTGATTTATGCATTCCTGACTTAATTGTGGTGGTATATGATCTTTGTAGGATTCTTTTCACACCATTTTTAATTTTAGCTTATAGTGGAGAATGGGGTTGCTGTGTTAGGTAACAACAGTGGTGGTCTGATCCATGTCTTGATCATGACGATGCTTTCAACTTTGAATCTAGTGTTCCTTATGTTCTTTTAGCATTGCAATCAGCAGATTATAGTATCACCGCTTCCTAGATTTCCTTTACAGGACACATTTTGGTCTTTCGAGGAGCATATGGTGAAGATTACTCAGGGAGTTTTAATCTTTATTGATTGTTTTTCCCCTTTGTTCTTTGTTTATAACACTTTTATCCCTTTTTCCCTACACTGAAGTCTTGAGTGTCCAAATCCTATTTTATGTGTTTCTAGGTTGGGATTATAAACGACTTGGACTAAGAGCGACAAGGGAGTACAACATGTTTTCGGCACCTTGCTGTCTTCTAAGTGTTATTTTAGTTTTGTGTTTGCATTTTGTACAACTCTATTGTTGTAATATAAGTGTAGGTTCTGCGGCCAATGTGTGCACGTGCCTTCTACAGGATGTTCTAAGGAATATTTGGAATCGGCATAATTCAGGAATGAAGTCCACACAATTTGATTGGGGGAGTCCCTCTGTTTTTCTTTCCTTTCCTTGACGCATTTAATTTTTGATGTTGTTGTGTTAATGACTATTTAGTTTAAGCTTCAGCTGGTTTGTGTTTTCTGAACTTGGGACTTCGAGAGAATCATTTGTTTTGTTTTATTTTTTCAGAAAAGAAAGTGATGTGTGGGGAGAAGGATCATACCAAGAGTGTTAAAAAGCATTGCTTACTCCCTCTTTTACTGCTTACATTGTTTGTCTTTGCACTAATACAATGGTTTTGTCTAAGTTCTGGTTGTTGTATTTCTTCCAGGGGCATATAGTTGGACTACTACGAGTCTTCTTCTTTGCATTAGTTAACTGAGTACATTTTTAATTCTTTATCTCATTTTTTCATCTCATGGTGTTTTATAATTTTATTTTTTCTTTATTGTGATTTGATAATTTCTGCTGCATTCCTTCTGAATCTGTTTTGTGTCATTGGGCTTACAGTGTCACTAAATGTTTGAAGAAATTGCGGACTAACAAAAGAATTAATGCCATGAGAGAAACTTAACTGTCTGGTTGTTTAACTTTGTCACTATATATTTGATTTATGCATTCCTGACCTAATTGTAGTGGTGTATGATCTTTGTAGGATTCTTTTCACACCATTTTTAATTTTAACTTATGGTGGAGAATGGGGTTGCTGTGTTAGGAAACAACAATGGTGGTCTGATGCATGTCTTGATCATGATGATGCTTTCAACTTTGAATCTAGTGTTCCTTAAGTTCGTTAAACATTGCAATCAGCAGTGTATAGTATCACCACTTCCTAGATTTCATTTACAGGACACATTTTGGTCTTTCGAGGAACATATGGTGAAGATTACTCAGGGAATTTTAATCTTTATTGATTGTTTTTCCCCTTTGTTCTTTGGTTATAACACTTTTATCCTTTTTTCCCTCACATTGAAGTCTTGAGTGTCCAAATCCTATTTTATGTGTTTCTAGGTTGCGATTATAAACGACTTGGACTAAGAGCGACAAGGGAGCACGATATGTTTTCGGCACCTTTCTGTCTTCTAAGTGTTATTTTAGTTTTGTGTTTGCATTTTTTACAACTGTATTGTTGTACTAGAAGTGTAGTTTCTGAGCCCCATATGTGTATGTGCCTTCTACAGGATGTTCTAAGGAATATTTGGAATCGGCATAATTCAATGAAGTTGACACAACTTGATTGGGGGAGTCCCTCTGTTTTTCTTTCCTTGACGCTTTTCATTTTTTATGTTGTTCGTCTCATGGTGTTGGATAATTTTATTTGTTCTTCATTGTGATTTGATAATTTCTGCTGCATTCCTTCTAATTCTGTTGTGTCATTGGACTTACAGTTTCACTAAATGTTATAAGAAATTGCGGACTAACAAAAGAATTAATGCTGTGAGTTTGAGGAGATAATACAAGAAAAATATGGAACTAGAAATTGATGGTAGGATTATGATAATCAGTCAATGGCTCTACTAATTTATGATGGTGTCTATGCTTTAGATATGATGGATTTGTCAAAGTTTCGGTTGCTGTTTTTCTTCCTGGAGCATGTCTTTGAACTATGAGAGAGTCTTCGGCTTCTTTGCCAGAGTTAACTGATTACCTTCTTAAATAATGTTTTTATTTCTTTTGTCTCGTAGTGTTGGATAAATTTATTTGTTCTTCATTGTGATTTGATTATTTCTGATGCTTTGCTTCTAATTCTGTTCTGTATCATTGGGCTTACAGTTCCACTAAATGATTGAAGACAATGTGGACTCACAAAAGAAGTAATGCCATGATGTTAATCCAGGAATTAATTCAATAAAACATAGAACAAGAAACTAATTGTAGGATTTTAATCAACCAATCAAGGGCCCTAATAATTTGTGACTGTTCTATTTGTTTAATTTTTTCACTATCTGTTTGGTTTATGCTTTCATGACATGCAGTACTGGGATTATGATCTTTGTAGGATTGTTTTTACAGCATTTTTAATTGTAACTTATGGTGGAGAATGGGTTTGCCGAGTTTGGAAACAACAATGGTGCTCCTAACCATGTCTTGATCATGATGATGCTTTCAATGTTGAATCAAGTTTCTGTTAAGTTTGTTTTGCATTGCAATTAACAATTTATTAAGTCACCACTGATCTTAGGTTTTGTTTCCAGGACACATTTTGGTCTTTCTGCATTCTTCTTTTGTTCCTTTTCTCCCTTACATTGAAGTTTTGAGTCTGCAAATCCTATTTTATGTGTTTGTAGGTTGTGATTATAAACGACGTGGACTAAGAATGACAGGGGAGTACATGGTTTTTTCTGACACCTTGCTGTGTTCTAAGTCTTCCTTGTGTTTTATCTTACATCTTGGATGCTTTTATCTCACATCTTGAACACTTTCTTCGTGTATTAGAAGTGTCAGGTCTGAGATCAATTGTGTGCATGTGCCTTTTCTAGGATGTTCTAAGGAACAGTTAGACTTCTAGAATTATTTAGGAATGGAAGTTGACACAACGTGCATGGGGAGTACCTCTGGTTTTCTCTCATTTCTTGATGCATTCTTCTTTTAATGCTTGTATTTCTTATTGTATTGTGTTTAGATGAATGTTTAGTTTAAGCTTCAGTTGGTGTCTGTTTTCCTTGAACATGGACTTTGAGAGAGTTTTTTCTTATTTTTTTGATGAATGTTTAGTTTAAGCTTCAGTTGGCGTGTGTTTTCCTGGAACATGGACTTTGAGAGAGTTTTTTCTTATTTTTCAGAGATGGAAGCAATGGTGGGGTCTAGGATTAAACCAGGAATGTTAAATTCCATTACTTTCTCCCTCTTTTCCTGCTTCCAATGTTTTTGGTTGGATTAGATTCAGTTGTTTTGTCTAAGCTTCAGTTGCTATAGTTCTTCCAGAAGCATATGCTCAAACTACGAGGGTCTTCTTCCATGCATGAGTTAATACCTTCTTGATTCTGTGATCTTTCTTCACTTGTGTTCGATAATTTTATTTGTTCTTCACTGTGATTTGTTAATTTGTGATGCATTCGTTTTAATTCTGTTTTGTATCCTTGGGAATACAGTTTCTGTAAATGTCTGAAGAAAATGTGGACTAACCAAATAATTAATGCTACGAGGAGGTTAGTCCGGGAGATAATTGAAGAAAAAATGAAACAAGGAGCTAATGGTTGGATTAAAATCAACCAATCAAGGGCTATATGAATTTGTGATGGTGTTTTGGGGGGCTTGTTATGTGAGAAACTTCACTGTCTGGTTGTTTAATTTCTTCACTATCTATTTGTGTTATGCATTTATGACTTTTAGTACTGGGATGTGATCTTTGTAGGATTGTTTTTACAACATTTTTTATTTTAACTTATGGTGGAGATGGGGGTTGCGCTGTTAGGAAACAACAGTGGTGCTCTGATCCATGTCTTGTTCATGATGATGCTTTCAACATTTATTGAGTTGTTTTTTAAATTTGTTTTGCATTGCAATTAATAATTTATAATATCAAGGATACATTTAGCACCTTTGTGGAAGTTATGGTGAAAGGATTAATCAAGGAGTGTTAATCTATTGTTTTGTCCTTCTTTGGTTATAACTTCCACAAAGGAATGAAGTTTTCAAGACCACAAATCCTATTTTATTTTGCGTTTAGGCTGTGATTATAAATGACATGGACTTAGATTGAGTTGGGAGTACATGACTTTTTCAACTCCTTTCTCTGTTATAAGTGTTATTTTGTTTTGTTTTTCCATTTTGGACACTTTTTTTTAATAGAAGTGTAGGGTCTGAGCTCAGTATGTGCATATGCCTTTTCCAGGATGTCCTATGGAATATTGGGACTGGCATAATTCGGAAACGGATGTTAACAAACTTGCATTGGGGAGTACCTCTGTTTTTTTTTTCTTTCTCCTTTTTTTTTTTTACGCATTCTTCTTTCAATGGACTTTGAGATAGTTATTTTTTGCTATATCGTGTTTAGATTAGATGCATGTTTTGTTTAAGCTTCAGTTGGTGTGTTTTCCAGGAACATGGACTTTGAGAGTTTTTGCTAATTTTTCGGAAAAGAAAGCAATGGAGGGGTCTAGGATCAAACCAGGAGTGTTAAATGCACGACTTACTCCCTCTTTTCCTGAGTACATTGATTATTGTTGCACTAGATACAATTGTTTTGTCTAAGTTTCAGTTGCTGCATTTCTTTCAGGAGCATATAGTTGCAGGAGTCTTCTTCCATGCATGAGTTAACTGAGTACCTTCTTGATTCTTTCATTTCTTTTGCCTCATGATGTTGAATAACTTTATTTGTTCTTCATAGTGTTTGTTAATTTCTGATAGATGGCTTCTAATTCTGTTTTCTATCATTGGGCATACAGTTGCATTAAATGTTTGTAGAAAACGTGGACTAAGAAAAGATTTAATGCCATGCGATTATTCCAGGAGATAGTTCATGAAACATGGAGCAATGAACTAATGGTAGGATTATAATCAGCCAAATCAAGGGCTAGTTTGTGACAGTGTCTTATGAGGCTCAAATGGTTTAAATTATTACTTGTCCAGCTTCAAATCTGCGCTCCCAAGCAGGTTATATTTTCTCTTCTATATTTCCTTCTCGCTAGAGTTCTTGTCTTCTCTTCTATTGATCTCTTGCAGATGTTTTGGAAAATAATGCAGCATCTCGTAATTCGTAGCTCTTTTTTTATTATTTTTTTCCAATCTTATCCACAATCTGCTATTATTCTTCGAAGACATAATCAGTGGCTGCTTTGTCCTTGCCTTTTTTCAAAGAAATGTGTGTGGATTGGGATTAAAGCAAGCGTGTTTAAACCAAGGATTCGCTAAGCCTTCTTTGTGGGTTTGTATGCTTGTGCAGGTGGCTGCTTTTTATCTGTTTGTCTTGCCAAGCAATGGTGGTGTTCGAATACTGGCTGGCTAAAGATATTTTTGGGTCAGTCAATGCTTATTTAAAGATGGGGATTGCTTGGCTGTTGGGAGTTATTGACAGATGACTATTTTCCATCCCAGTTATTATGCGGTGAAGCTCTATTCTGTGCTTTTCATGGATTGGTGATGATTAAGTCCTGGATGTTTTTATTGACTGTTTTTTTCCCTTCGGTTTGTGGGTTCCTTGCTTTTTGGCTGAACTTCTGTTACTAGAAGTGGTTGATTATATGGTTCAAGTCTGTAGCTTTGTCTCTGGCAGTCTGGTTTTGGATACTCATTGATTTCAGGTACCATGGTCTGGGTTAAGATTTCTTTTGGTTATATGGAATTGAATCAGCCATTTGGTAAAGCATCTCTATCCATCGGATGATTGTTTGCTCATTAGGAAGTGTTGACTATCTTCTGACTTGTGTACATGTCAAAAACTAAGTTATTATGGTTGAAATTGTGCATTGTCCATACGATGGTGTTTACTTGGCTGTTGGGGTTATTGATTGATGGCTATTTTGCCTCCTAGTTATGATGTGGTGAATCTCAATGATAGTTAAGTTCTGGAAATTTCTATTGACTTGGTGTGCTTTCCCTTCCGTCTGTGGGTTCTTCGTTTTCTGGTGGAACTTCTGCTACGAGAAATGGTTGATTATATGTTCCAAGTTTGTTTCTATTCTCCGGTAGTGGTTTCTGATACTGATTGATTTCTGGTTTCATGGTCATGGTTAATGGCTTTTGGTTATATGGAATTAAAACAGCTAGTTGCTCAAGTAAACATGGTGTTGATTTGCATCTCTAGCCTTCTGATGGTTATTAGCTATTTAGGAAGTGTTAGCCATTTACTGACTTGCATACATGTCACAAAGGAAGTTGTTATGGTTGAATTTGTGCCTCTGTGTTCTGGTTTCAGATTGTGGTAGTTTCACCAATAATTCGTCAAGTGTCGTTCTTAGTGGAGCTAGAATTTTGAAGACTATGCAGCAAAATATGATCTAAGGGCATGTTGCAAGGATTTTTTGAATGCTCGTTTCTGTCATCTTACTGGGGTTGTTTTATTGCTAGTTTTTATGATGTGCTTGGGCCTGTCACTGTTTCCCGTAATTTGCTTCTGCATCCCTGTCTCTGTGTGATCTTGTATTTTGTGTGGTTGTATGCATGTAACTCCGCCTGTGTTGCATAACATGCAGCTCACAGCCGGTCTCAAGCCCGGGGCAAGGAGGAGAGGTGCAGTCAAAATCTATTGTGTGATGATTGAAATATTTGCTCATGATTCAATGTCTAGCAGCTGATATTTTGTGTGGTTGTATGCATGTAACTCTGCCTGTGTTGCATCTTGTTACATCTTTTGTTGCATTAAATTCAACTGCCTAGTCTCGGTTTCAGTTTGTGTATTTCCAGGATCATAGATTTGAACAATCAGTCTTCTTTGATGCATGAGTGAGTGGGTGATGGCAAGTGAAATAAATGCTGATGATTTCCACAGCTAGCAAGGCACCAAGACTTCCATTGATTCTTTAGCAAAAAGGAAAGTGTTTTTTCTTTTCTTATCTTTTTTTAAAGAAGATTGCATATTTGTTGAAAGATGGTTAAGATGGTTGGAGCAAGTAAATGTTTTCATCTTGATCTTGATCTTTTTCTGCTAAACGGCTAACAGATTAAAATTATTTCGTACCTGAAATTTCTATTCATAATTTTGTTCTACTTAAAGTTATGATCAAATTACAAACAGTTTCAAAGGCTGGCTGAATGAATTTATAGATGTTGGAAGGTGTTATGCTCTCTCGAGTATTTGACCTAAGGAAAGGATTTGAAAAAGGTTGGTTACATATGATTGATCTCAACTGCATTTGATAACCTCAAAAATGAACAGTAAGCTTAGAAGGAAATTTTCTTCCTCTTGTGTGAACCCAAGCGATGCCAGCTTGCATTTAAAATTGAGTCAGAAATTTCATGAAGTTAAAATGGACCAAACTCTGGCGCTTTCAATGTTTTGTTATGGGTACACAGTTTTTGTGCTTAGAATTTTATTTTCAGGTATCTACTCTTTTGATAGTTATTAGTTATTTTCAAGTATCTGTTGATAGTTGAAACAGACTTGTACTGCACTGTTGAGAAGTTTGTTGTAGAGAAATATTTGATCTGGTATATGTTGGGTTAAGAAATAGAATATTCTTGGTCTTCATTTCATTAATTTTTAAGTTATTGTAAGGTATGCCTGAATTTGGAGCAAAAGGAGAACTACGGAATTTTGATTGGTGGAAATTTGTATGTTAGGAAATAAATTTAAAAAAAAAACCCAAAAACTCCAACCATGTATGGCAACTGTCAAGCGTTGATGCTTTCAGTCCAATGGGTGAGGATTTGTTTTTTTGTTTTTGGTTAATCGAACCATTGAACTCAAAAATAGAAACCAAACTGAATTGAAATTCGATTTTTCAGATTCTATTTTCGGTTCAAGCTGGTTTTTTTTTTTAAATGTTTTTGGCTGCGTATTGTGGTCATCGAGAGTATCGAATGCTTTACCATTCAATTTTTAGAGTTAATAGAGAGGTATTTGCGGTTCAAGTGATTTAATTTTGAAAGCCATCGTCCAGTGGCTGAGCCTAGTAAATACCATCCTGCCTCTTTCAGAGTTTTGCAATTCCTTGTGGTACATAATTTAGATCTTGTATTCACACAGCTAGGATGAGGGCAGCTTATCAGCATACAATGGTGCATGTTGGCACACATTTGTGTAAGCATTGACGACGACCTTGGAGAGATTCTATAAGCAGCTGGCAGAGTTAATGACCTTTTGCCAACTTCAAGTGAATTCTCTTTTTTTGAGATAGTAAATATTTTTTAAAAAAAAAAAAAATTCGAAACTCCAACCATGTAGAGTCAATTATCAAGCATTGATGCTTTTAGTCCAATGGGTGAGGATTTTTTTTTTTTTTTTAGATAATCGAACCACTGAACTCAAAAATAGAAACAAACTGAATTGGAATTTGATATTCAGATTTTGTTTTTGGTTCAAGTTGTTTTTTTCAATGTTTTTGGCCGTACAGTGTGGTCATCGAGAGTCGAATGTTTTAGCATTCAATTTTTAGAGTTAATAAAGAAATATTTACAGTTGAGTGATTTAATTTTGAAAGCCATATGTCCAATGCCTGAGCCTTGAAAATACCCTACTGCCTCTTTCAAGGTTTTACAATTCCTTATGGTATATATCCTATTAGGCTATGATTGTCATTTCGGAGTTTGGACATGTGAGCTCATAGAAATTAAATGCCAAGTTAGAAGTGTGAGTGTAATGTCATCTATTAGCTTAATGCTCTGTTCTAGTTTAATAACAAAAGGGAGTCTTTAAGCTTCTGTTATTTGAATGGTAACACCAACAAGAATCTCTGATTGTTTTATATTGGTGTTGGGAAATTGGTAAGTGATTTATGGCTTATGTTTTACTTGTGACCATCTGAGGTTTTTCTTCCTAGATTTTCAATTTTGTGAGGAAAAAAAATCGTTTTACTTTTTACCTACTAAATTTTATATAGGCATTTTCTTTATATCGAGTAACAATATATGTCTTAAAATTTATAAACAATATGTCCTAAAATTTATAACATCTTATCCGTATGATGATATTGTAATTTTTAAGCATATTATGAAATGAATAAACCAAAACACACAATCATGAAGGATTATTAACTTGGTGGTCTTTTCGTAGCATCCATGTTACTATGAACAAAAAGAGAGAGGAAAAAAGGAAAAACAAACTTGTTCTTTTCGTAGCGTCCATGTTACTATGAACAAAATCCAAGAGTCCGAGTAGAAAGTGTCTGGGTTAAAAGCTAGCGACTTCGGTTTGATCAAAATAGCAACACGCTTGACGGAACCTTGAACTCCCTCTTTGACGAGCATGAACGCAATTGATCGGTATGTTAGGATGCCTTTTGGCAAGAACGGATGGCCTTAGGGATGCTATAAGTTGGCGACATCGATGACCATCCACCAACTTAATCTCTTCAATATTGAATCTAGTTTGTCTTCATTCAATGTCTCTAAATCTCCAAGCTTATTCTTAGATTGTCTCCTCGAATTCTCTACGGATAACAATGCCTTCTTCAAGACGAGTTGATATACTTTGCGATGAAACATTAAGTAAATTGTTGATGTTGTTCTATTTTCCCTAAAGAGGCAAAATTGGTTTCTCTTCAAATTCTGTATTCCCTGAAGAGTTCATTTACATATTTTTATCTCCGAAGTGTAGAAAATAGTTTATTTCATCAATTTGGGTTCAAAAGTAAGTGACCAAAATTACACTCGGTGAGGATAGTCTGTAACTCGGAATATACACACTATTAATGTAAAACATATAAACATCAATATCTTTGCAAGGTAACCATTCTACTAGTACGAGGTCTTTAGAGAGGCAACAAGGCCAAGTTTTAGCTTCTCGTTTAGGTGCAATTCAAATGGGTTTATTTTACATTTGATCTCCGAACGATTTGAACTTTTTAAATGAGATCATTTATAATTTTTCAGCTTGATCGAAACTTTGTATTCTTAAAAAATTATTGATTCGATTCTCCGTTAACTCGTTTATCCAATATGGTACGTTAAAATTAACGGTAACCAATCACAAATGGACGCGTGACCTAGTGGGTCTCAAGTATTACCATGATTTGACCCAAAAAAAAAACATAAAATTTAAAAGATTTTTACCATTAAAATATTTATTAGTATATAAAAACAAATGAAAAAACATAGGACTATCTCAAATCTCATTATAATTGTCTAACTCATTCTATTCCGTAATGTCAAAACCAATCCTTTTTACAAAATCAAGTTTCTTCTTAGGGCATTTTATCGGTTATCTATAAACCCGTAAAATCAAGTTTTTTCTTGGGACAATCCATCAATTATCCATAAATAAGTTGGAAATTTGAGTCTAATTTCGACTTATCTATCATTTTAGATCCTTTTTGAACAAACTACTTAAATTTCGGACTTATCTATCACTTCGGATCCTTTTTAAACCATCAAGGATAAGAATTTAAGTTTCATTCCGCTCGTAAATGAAGCATTCTACATAAATAAAATTCAATTTCTTTGAAATATACATCTCTTATTATGAAAAGCCATTAGTATTATAATATCAAAAATAGAATATTTATAAGTTTTTTATTATTAACCTATTTATTAGTACTTAAAAATAACTAAAAAAATACGAGACTACCCCCTCTTATTATAATTGCCTAACTCATTCTTTTTCATAATGTCAAGACCAATTCTTCCTCCATTTCTTTACAAAATCATGTTTCTTTTTTGGGCACTCTATCAATTATCCATAAACCTACAAAATCAAGTTTTTTTCTTGGGACACTTCATCTATTATCCACAAATAAGTTTGAAATTTGAATTTGTTTCGGACTTATCTATCATTTTGAATCCTTATTGAGCCAACTACTCAAATTTCATACTTATATATCATTTTAGATCCTTTTTAAACGAATTACTCAAATTTCGGACTTATCTATCGGATCCTTCTTAAACCATTAAGGATAAGAATTCAAGTTTCATTCCTCTCATAAATGAAGCATTCTATATAAATAAAATTCAATTTTTTTGAAATATACATCTCTTACCATGAAAAGCCGGGAGTATTATAATGTCAAAAATAAAAGATTTGAAGTATCGAAATCGAACATTAACATAAGTTAGAACTAATAATTTAAGAATGAAAAAATGCCATCTTAGGATGTTCGATCCGAATTATTTACCGCAACGAAATGATCCACAATGTGAGGATTCAAGACTACATTTTGCTATTGCATCTAACCATCCAAGAGACTAAAATTGATTAGGATCTATAATTTTACGACCTTTTTTCTAGTACCAAGCACTAATCGAGTTTTCCATTTTTGCCTTGTATACCTAGAAAATCTAGCAGACAGCATAACTTGTTGTCATCGTTATTGCAATAGCATCGGATATTGAAAATGAAAAGCTCATTTGTCTTCCTCACTCGTAAAAAAAGGTATTGTAATCTATCCATTTTTTAAGATCGGATAGTTTTATAAGCTTCGCGGACTCTTATGAATTCAAAAACAATGTCCTCCCTTTGGTCATTAGTTGTAACATCGTTTAACTTTCTTTTTGGATCTTTAATGCAAGAAAAATAACCAGATTAATTCAATAAGTTTATTAAAAAAAATCAAGTTTTTTCTTCGATCCACTCATCAAAATTTTAAATTGGGCTTGGGTTTGGTTTCCATGGATAGATCATGCTAAGATCCTTAATTTCCAATTGAGATTTAAAGGATTTAGGGCATTTATAGTTTATTTAGAGAGAGAGGGAGAGAGAGTTTGAGAATGCAAAAGAATAAATATGAAAAGGAAGAAGAGGAGAAGCTTAGGGTTTCAATCATAGATGAAGAAGACATGAAGCGAGGGATTGAAAAATTTAGGAAGCTTGGGATTTCAATCGAAGAAGAAGTGCTAGCAAGGAAGCTTGGGGTTTCAATCAAAGAAGAACAAGAAGAAAAAGCGAAGTAAAAGACTAGAAGTTTTAGGATAAGAAGAAGAAGAAGAAGCTTAGGGAATGCAATAAATTTGGTCTCTACGTAGAAAGAGATAGTGAGGAGAGAGCGATGGATTTTGAAATACCGAGATGAAGACAAATTTGTCTTTATGATTTATTGTCTTAATTCTAAATATTAATTTATTATTAAAAAGATTTTTTTTTTAATTTTGGATGACAAAATTGTTATTTGAGACCCACAATGCCATGTGTCAATTAGTGATTAATAGCTATTAATTGTAATATGCAATATCGGATGAACAATTGATGAAATTATAACAAAAGGTTTGAATGAACAAATTTTTTATAGTATAAGATTTCAATCAAATTGAAAAATTATAGAGAATCTTAAGAAAAAATCAAATTGTACAAGAACCACATGTGAGATAAACCCTAATTTAAACCGACTTATGCAATCCGTTCCAATAGAGTTGGTACATATATATTTGATTACATAAAGTATTTTCCATTGTACAATAAAAATACATTAAGTTTTATAAATATAAAAAGTAAGTAGAAATTTATTGTCAATTTTGTATCATTTTGTTAGAATAAAATATCATATAAAAATAAAATCTAGGTGGTTATATTCTATTGTTGGGATGTATTGCCTTGGATTGTTACATGGAATGTGAGAGTTGTGAGTACACATCATCAACCATCTTTACTCCACATCCGTTAAAAAAAATGAAAATACTTGTGAGTTATATGTTAAACTTGCTTATATTCAAATATATAGTATTAATATTCCACATCCGTTAAAAAAAACAAGAAAATATAAATAGTTTATAAGCATTTTATACCATTTCTCTCTTTAAGGTGTCTTTTTTATAACAAAAATCATTATAACATCATGTGTTTGAACATAGAATAATATCGCAACAAGTGTCGTCCATGAGAACATGGACTATGTGCTTCTCGAGTAGAAAATTGTGATGAAATGAATATCTCATATCGATTAAGAGTAGGAAGATTAAATATTTTATAAATTCTAAAAACAAAATACAATATTTTTCAAAAAGCAAATTATATAACAAATTTTTTTCAACATCTTCACAAATGATTTGAAATTCAATATATCTCTTAATGTTTAGATAAACCAAATATATATATATTTCATTAGTAGCTAAAAGATATCTCATTTTTTATCTTGTTGTGAACACAATCAATATACATTATTATAAAAACTTTTTTTATCTTACTGTGAACACAATCAATATATTTTACTAGAAATTCATTGAATTTTAATTTTGCATCACTAAAAATTGAACCATTCCAATAATAACTGTGATACTAAAATCTTTTTATTAAAATATATACAAATTTAAAAATACTCACCTTAAAACAAACTTTTTTTCTAGAGGGAAAGACGAACGGAATCTTGAAAGGTGCGATATGAACAAGGATTCCATCACTTTTAAAAAAGAAAGAATTTCTACTACATATAGCCGATTATTGGGGTAAGAAATGGTATTGTATCCAAACAAAGCAGATGAGGAGAAGTGAAGCATGAAAATAGAGCAGATTGCAGTGGAGAATGAGAGTCGTTAAAATTTAGTCCTAAACATTTTCTTTTTAAATCGACCACAATTCTTAATATTGTACTCGACACACTAGCCACGGCTTCACTGACTGAATATGCCCAAGTTTTGACCCATAGGATATGCAAGGAAAAAGTAGCGAAATTTTGGACGCAAGTGATCTGGCCACCCTTGGAAATGCCGATAACCTCAAAGATCCTGGGAATGATGCCAAGATGCCGCATCACATCCGTGGGTAAACTAGCCTAAAAAGGACAAGTTGCCGGTTAATTTGTATAGCTAAGCAGTCAAATGGGCCTGCTCCCGGGCAAACTAGGCTAGAAAGGACAAGTGGCAGGTAAATTTGCACAGGTAAGCTGGTAAATGGGCGTGCTCCCTGTCTGAGGCAGTCTTGTAAGAAGATTTGGGCTTCTGTGAGAACTTAAACATGGGCTTTTTATTTCGTTAGAGACTGAGCGCGTCTTATCACGTTAATTTAGAGCGCGTAGGGATAAGGGTAAAGCGTTTAAATCAAGCTAACAAAGCGCGTAAAGTGGGACCGCGTAAAGCCTCGTTGGGTTATCTGACCGACTCTATCAGCTATAAATATAGCCTCTTAAGCTCACTTATACATCAAGCTAGTAGGTTCGCCGGGTTTCGCTCTTTCTTTATTTTGGTAACGACTTCCTTCTTTTTCTGCGATCTAAGGTGGGGTTCTATTTCGTTCTTCGATATTTGAATTTAGAGTTTTGTTTCTCGATCTATGGATCTAGGTTTTCGACCCGAAGCTAAGGGTTATGGGGCAGATTGATTTCTGTATGATTAATTTTTTGGTTTCAATTCGTTCTTCGATCTTTTAAGATAGGGTTTTGTTCTCGATCTACGAATATAGCTTTTTGACACAAGGCTAGGGTTCTGCTGCAGATTGTTGGAGCTTGATTAATTCTTTAGTTTCAGAATCGGAAGGAATGCAGCGGACATAAGAATTGGTTGAGATCTTGTTGTCGTGGAGAAGATGTTGACATGAATTTTGGGAATTGAGATTTACCATGAGACAAAATATGGTTTTCTTTCCTTAGCTCTTATTATTCTGAACTTGATGGTTTCAAGAATTTCTGATGTGTTCCGTCCATCTCTGCTTTGCACAATTGAATTGATAATTCTGCTTCGAATAATTGGGTTTTAGGGTTTCAAGAAAACGTGGACTAACGTGGAATAAATTACAAAATACGATTTTCTTTCCTTGGCTCTTCCTTATAATTCTGAACTTGATGTTCCAAGAATTTCCGATGTCTTCCTCCTGGTTCTGCTTTGCATAATTAAATTGATATTTCTGCTTTGGATAATTGGGTTCAGGGATTCAAGAAAACGTGGACTAACATGGAATTAATGCTACCGATATAATTCAAGAAAATACGGTTAACAAGGAGGTAATGGTACGGGTCTAAAAGGGATCTGCTGATTTATGAGAAGTTAGGGATGCTGGTTTGTTTTGCATTGTTATCAACAATTTAGAATATCACCACTTATCTTAGATTTTATTTCCAGGACACTTTCAGCTCTTTTGAGGAACATATGGTGAATATTAATCATGGAGTGCTCATCTTTATCTGTTGTGTTCCCCTTCTTTCTTTGGCTAGTGAACATTTTATTCTTTTTTCCCTAAAATTGAAGTTTTGAGCCTACAAATCCTATTTTATATGTTTTTAGGTTATGATTTATAAACGACAGGGAAATAAAAGTGACAAGGGAGTACATTATGTTTTTATTGCACAGGATGTTCTGAAGAATATTTGGACTTGGCATAATTCAGGAATGTTGTTGAGACATGGGGAAGTAGCTTTTATAAACGACAGGGAAATAAAAGTGACAAGGGAGTACATTATGTTTTCGACACCTTGCTGTGGTCTAAGTGTTACTTTAGTTTTGCTGTTGTATATTTGACACTTTTTTTTTTTTTTGGTAATTGAAGTGTAGGATCTGAGCTTCGTATGTGCATATGCCCAGGATGTTCTGAAGAATATTTGAACTTGGCATAATTCAGGAATGTTGTTGAGACATGGGGAAGTAGCTTTTATAAACGACAGGGAAATAAAAGTGACAAGGGAGTACATTATGTTTTCGACACTTGGCTGTGGTCTAAGTGTTACTTTAGTTTGCTGTTGTAACTTCTACACCTTTTTTTATTTTTTTTGGTAATAGAAGTTTAGGATCTGAGCTTCGTATGTGCATATGCGCAGGATGTTCTGAAGAATATTTGGACTTAATGTTGTTGAGACATGAGGAAGTAGCTTTTATAAAAGACGGAAATAAAAGTAACAAGGGAGTACATTATGTTTTCGACACCTTGCTGTGGTCTAAGTGTTACTTTAGTTTTGCTGTTGCAACTTGTACGCCTTTTTTTTTTTTTTTTTGGTAAATAGAAGTGTAGGATCTGAGCTTTGTATGTGCATATGCCCAGGATGTTCTGAAGAATATTTGGACTTGGGACAATTCAGGAATGTTGTTAAGACATGGGGAAGTAGCTTTGTTTTTTCCCTCTGCTTTCCTTGACGCTTGTTATTTTTTATTGTATTGTGTTAAGATGAGTGGTTAGTTTAAGCTTCAATTGTTGTGTTTTCCAGGAACATGGACTTGAGAGTTATTTTTTATTTTTCAGAATAGAAATTAAAGAGTGGGGAGTAGAATCAAACCAGGAGTGTTAAATGCATTATGTACTACCTCTTCTCCTGCTTAAATTGTTTGTCACTGCATTAGATACAATTGTTTTGTCCAAGTTTCAGTTGTTGTATTTCTTCCAGGAGAATATATTTAAACTATGAGTCTTCTAGAGTTAGTTAACTGTGTTCTTTCTTAATTCTTCGTTTCATTTCTTTCATCTCATGGTGTTGAATAATTTTATTTGTTCTTCATCATGATTTGATAATTTCTGATGTATTCTTTCTAATTCTGTTATGTATCATTGGGCTTACAGTTTCATTAAATGTTCAAGAAAACGCCGACTAACAAAAGAATTAAAGCCATGAGGTTAATCAAGGAGATAATTCAAGAAATCTTGGAACAAGTAACTAATGGTAGGATTATAATCAACCTAGTGAAGGCTCTACTAATTTGTGACGGTGTCTCGTGGGGCTAGTTATGTGAGAAGCTTAAATGTCTGGTTGTTTAATTTCTTCACTCTCTATTTTTTTGCATTCACTACTTATAGTACTGGGATATGGTCTTTCTAGGATCGTTATTACAGCATTTATAGTTTATAATTCTAACGGGTTGTGGTGTTTGGAAACAACAATGGTGCTCCGATGCATGTCTTGATCATGATGATGCTTTCGACATTGTGTCTAGTATCTGTCAAGCTTGTTTCGGCATTTTCAACAGATTATAATATCATCACTTAGGTTTTCTTTCCAGGATGATGAAGATTACTCAAGGGGTTTTAATCTTTTATCGATTTTTTTTCCCCTTTCATCTTTGGTTATCACACTTTATCCTTTTTTCCCTTATGCTAAAGTCTTGGGTCTACATATCCTATTTTATGTGTTTTTAGGTTGGGATTATAAATGACTTGGAATAAGAGCAACGAGGGAGTACATTTTGTATTCGACACTTTGCTGTGTTCTAAGTGCTATTTTAGTTTTGTTTTTGTATCCTGTACGCTTTTATTTTTGTAATAGACACGTATGGTCTGAGCCCAGTGTGTTAATGTGCCTTTTCCAGGATGTTCTATGCAATATTTGGACTCTGCATAATTCAGGAATGAAGCTCACGCAACTTGCTAGAGGGGGTCCCTCTGGTTCTTTCTGTCCTTCCCTTGACACTTTTCAATTTTTAATTGTGTTTAGTTTACCTTCCGTTAGTTTGTGCTTTCTGAACATGGACTTTGAGAGAATCATTTTTTGTTTTATATTTTCAGAAAAGAAAGCGATTTGTGGGGACTTGGATTAAACCCAGAGTGTTAAATGCATTGCTTACTCTCTCTTTTACTGTTTACATTATTTTTCTTTGCATTAGATACAATGGTTTTGTCTAAGTTTTGGTTGCCATAGTTCTTCCAGTAGCATATAGTTGAACTGCAGGAGCCTTCTTCTATGCATGATTTAACTGAGTACCTTCTTGATTCTGATTTTTTTTTTGTTTCATGATGTTGAATAATTTGTTTTTTAATTTCTGTTACTTTGCTTCTAATTCTGTTTTCTATCGTTGGGCATACAGTTGCATTAAATTTTTGTAGAAAACCTGGACTGAGAAAAGAATTAATGCCATGATATTATTCCGGGAGTTGGTTCATGAAAACTTGGAGCAAGGAACTAATGGTTGGATTATAATCAGCCAATCAAGGGCTAGCTTGTGAGAGTGTCTTTTATGAGGTTATAATGGTTTTTACGGTTTCTCTTCTGGCTTCAAATTTGTACTCACCATCAGGGTCAATTTTTTTCCCCTTTCTTTTTTATTTCTTGTTACAGTTCGTCTTCTCTTCTATTGATCTTTTGCAGATGTTTTGGAAAATAATGCAGCAGCAAGTGTCTCATAAGTTGTAACTTTACTCTCTTTTTTTCTTTTTTTTCTTTTTTTTTTTGCGTTTTATCCACAATCTGCTATTATTCTTCTAAGGCATAATCGGTGGCTGCTTTTTCCTTGCCTTTTTCAAAAGGAATGTGTGGGAACTTGGATTAAAGCAAGTGTGCTTAAACCAAGGATTCTCTAATCATACTTCGTGGGTTTGTATGCTTTTACATGTGGCTGCTTTTTATCTATTTGTCTGGCTAAGTAATGGTGGTGTTCGAATACTGCCAGGCTAAAGATACCAAACACTGTATTGGATGTGTTTGCTCAGGATTTTTGGAAGATGGGGCTTGACTGTAGGGAGTTATTGACGGATGGCTATTTTCTCTCTCAGTCATTATGTGGTGAAGCTCTATTCTGTGCTTTTCATGGATTGGTGATGATTAAGTCTTGGATGTTTTTATTGACTGTGTGTTTTTCACTTTGGTCTATGGGTTCTTTGCTTTTTGGCTGAACTTCTACTATTAGCAGGGGTTGATTATATGGTTCAAGTCCATCACTGATTGATTTCTGGTACCGTGGTCTGGTTAAGATTGCTTTTGGTTATATGGAATCAAATCAGCCATTTGGTTAAGCATCTCTATCCATTGGATGATTGTCTGCTCATCAGGAAGTGTTGGCTATCTTCTGACTTGTGCACATGTCCATCACTGGTGCTTTATCCGTATGTTCTTTGTGTTCTCGTATCAGATTGTTGTTGTGGTATTGTCGCTGGTAATTCGATAACTGTTGTTCTTGGTGGAGGTAGCTAGATCTTCAAAATTATATAGCAAATTAAGATTAAAGGGCATCTTGCACGAATTCTTTGATCTTACCATCATTGGTTTGATTTTTATTGATTGATTCTTTGGTTTCAGAATCAGAAGTAATGAAGCGGACATAAGAATTGGCTGAGATCATGTTGTTGTGGAGAAGACGTCGATATGAATTTTGGAATTGAGATTTACTATGAGACAAACTATGGTTTTCCTTCCTTAGCTCTTATTATTCTGAACTTGATGGTTTCAAGAATTTCTGATGTGTTCCACCTATTTCTGCTTTGCACAATTGAATTGATAATTCTGCTTCGAATAATTGGGTTTTAGGGTTCAAGAAAACGTGGACTAACATGGAAGAAATTACAAAATATGGTTATCTTTCCTTTGCTCTTCCTTATAATTCTGAACTTGATTTTTCAAGAATTTCTGATGTGTTCCTTCTAATTCTTCTTTGCATAATTAAATTGATAATTCTGCTTTGGATAATTGGGTTCAGGGATTCAAGAAAACGTGGACTAACATGGAATTAATACTACCGAGATAATTCCAGAAAATATGGTTAACAAGAAGCTAATGGTATGGGCCTAAAAGGGATCTGCCGATTTATGAGAAGTTAGGGATACTGGTTTGTTTTGCAGTGCAATCAACAATTTAGCTATCACCACTCATCTTAGATTTTATTTCCAGGATACTTTTAGCTCTTTCGAGGAACATATGGTGAAGATTAACCAGGGGGTGTTCATTTTATCTATTGTTTTCCCCTTCTTCTTTGGCTAGTTAACACTTTATTCTTTTTTTCCCTTAAATTGAAGTTTTGAGCCTACAAATCCTATTTAATGTCTTTTTAGGTTGTGATTATAAACAGCAGGGAATAAGAGTGACAAGGGAGTACATTATGTTTTCTACACGTTGCTGTGGTCTAAGTGTTACTTTAGTTTTGCTTTTGTATCTTGTACACTTTATTTATTTTTAATCGAAGTGTAGGGTCTGAGCTTCATGTTCATGTGCCTTTTCCAGGAACATGGATTGGGAGTTATTTTTTATTTATTATTTTTCAGAAAAGAAAGCAACTTGTGGGGACGAGAATCAAACTATGAGTCTTCTAGTATGTGTTAGTTTACTTAGTTCATTCTTAATTCTCTGTTACATTTCTTTCATCTCATGTTGTTGGATAATTTTCTTTGTTCTTCATTATGATTTGATCGTTTCTGATGTATTCCTTCTAACTCTGTTGTGCCATTGGGCTTACAGTTTCATTAAATTTTTAAAGAAAACGTTGACTAACAAAAGAATTAAAGCCATGAGGTTAATCAAGTAGATAATTCAAGAAATCATGGAACAAGGAACTAATGGTAGGATTATAATCGACCAAGCAAAGGCTCTACTAATTTGTGACAGTGTCTTGCAGGGCTTGTCATGTGAGAGGCTTAACTGTCTGGTTGTTTAATTTTTTCACCATCTATTTTTTTGCATTCATGATTTACAGGACTGGGATATGATATTTGTAGTATTGCTTATATAGTATTTTTAATTTTAACATGTGGTTGAGAATGGGGTTGCTGTGGTAGGATAGGAAACAACAATGGTGCTCCAATCCATGTCTTGATCCTGATGATGCTTTCTACATTGACTCAAGTGTCTGTTAAGTTTGTTTTGCATGCCAATCAACAATTTATAATGTCACGACTTATCTTAGGTTTTGTTTCGAGGACACTTTTAGCTATTTCGAGGAACATATGGTGAAGATTAATGAGGGAGTGTTAATCTTTCATAAATTGTTTTTCCCTTATTTGGTTATAACATTCTTCTTTTTTTCCTTAAATTGAAGTTTTGAGTTTAAAAATCCATTTTTTTTGTTTTTAGGTTGTGATTGATTATAAACATGGACTACAAGTGACAAGGAAGTACATTATGTTTTCAACACCTTGCTGTGTTTCAAGTGTTGTTTTTGTAACACGTGTACTTTTTTTTTCCCTGTAAAAGAAGAGTAGGATCTGATGTCAATGTGTGCAAGTGCCTTTTCCAGGATGTTCCAAATAATATTTAGACTTGGCATATTTTAGGAATGAAGTGGACAGGATTACCTCTGTTTTGTTCTCTGCTATGGTTGATGCTCGTTAATTTTTTTTTTTTTTTTGTATTGTTTTATAACGGGTGTTTAGTTTGAGCTTCAGTTGGCTTGTGTTTTCCTGGAATATGGACAGTGAGAGAGTTATTTTTTATTTTTCAGAAACGATTAAACCAGGAGTGTGAAATGCATTACTTCCTCTCTCCTTTTTTGCTTGCATTGTTTGTAGTTGCAGTAGATATAATTGTTGTCTAAGTTTCAGTTGCTTCATTTCTTCGAGGACCATATATTTGAACTACAAGTCTTCTTCTGTGCATGAGTTACAGAGTACCTTCTTAGTTCTTTGTTTCATTTCTTTCGTGTCATGGTGTTGGATAATTTTATTTGTTGTTCTTTGTGATTTGATAATTTCTGAAGCATTCCTTCCAACTCTGTTTTGTATAATCTGGATATTTGTATAAAATGCAGAATAACAGAAGAATTAAAGCTACGAGGTTAATGTAGGAGATAATTCAAGAAAACAAACAAGGAACTAATGGTAGGAGTACGATCAACCAATCAAGGGCTCTACTATCAACCAATCAAGCGCTCTATTAATTGTGATGGTACCTTGCGGGGCTTTTTATGTAACTTAACTGTCTGGTTGTTTAATTTCTTCACTATCTATTTGATTTATGCATTCATGACTTAATAGTACTGGTATATGATCTTTGTAGGATTGTTTTTATAGCATTTATAATTTTAACTTATGTTGGAGAACGGTCTTACGGTGTTAGGAAACAACGATGGTGCTCTGATCCATGTCTTGATCATGATGATGCTGTCGGCATTGTATCTAGTGTCTGTGAAGTTTGTTTTGCGTTGCAATCAATTGATTATAATATAACCACTTATTAGGTTTTCCTTCCAGGACACATTTTGGTCTTTCGAATAACATATGGCGAAGATTACTCAGGAAGTTTTGATCTTTATCGGTTGTTTTTCCCCTTTCTTCTTTGGTTATGATAATCCTTTTTTCCCTTAAATTAAAAGTTTTGGTTCTACAAATCTTATTTTGTATGTTTCTAGGTTATGATTATAAACCGCTTGGACTAAGAGCGATGAGGGGAGTACCATATGGTTTTGACAACTTTCTGTGTTCTAAAGTGTTATTTTAGTTTTATTTTTGTATCTTGTACATGTTTATTTTTGTAATAGAACTGTAGGGTCTGAGCCCAATGTGTGCATGTTCCTTTTCCAGGATGTTCCAAGGAATATTTGGACTTGGCATAATTCAGGAATGAAGTTGACACAACTTGTGGGAGTCCCTCTGTTTTTTTCTATCCTTTTCTTGATGCTTTTTATTTTATATTTTATTGTGTTAATGAGTGTTTAGTTGAAGTTTCAGTTTGTGTTTTCCGAACATGGACTTTGAATCATTTTTTATATATATATTTTCAGAAAAGAAAGTGATGTGTGGGGACTAGGATCAAACCAGCAGTGTTAAATGCAGCTTACATTATTTGTCTATGCATTAGGTACAATGGTTTTGTTTTTGGTTGCTGTACTTCTCCCAGGAGCATATCTTTGAACTACTACGAGTGTTTTTCTCTATGCTGAACTGAGTACCTTCTTAAATATTCTTTTTATTTCTGTTGTCTTATAATGTTTGATAAATTTATTTGTTGTTCATTGTGAATTGATTATTTCTGATCCTTGCCTTCTAGTTCTGTTTTGTATAATTGGGCTTACAGTTTCATTTAATGTTTGTAGAAAACGTGGCCTAACAAGAGAATTAATGCCAATGGTGTTCAACATTGAATCAAATGTTTCTTAAATATGTTTTGCATTACAATGAACAATTTATAATTGCATTGCATATCTTAGGTTTTGTTTCCAGGACACATTTAGATCTTTTGGGGAACATATGTTGAAGATAAATCAGGTAGCATTAATCTTTATCTACTGTTTTCCTGTCTTCTTTAGTTGCATAACGCTCGAGTCTTTTTTCCCTTAAATTGAAGTTTTGAGTCTACAAATCCTATTTTATGTGATTTTAGGTTGTGATTATAAACGACATGGACTAAGAGAAACAAAAGAGTAAATGATGTTTTCCCTTGCTGTGTTCTAAGTGTTATTTTAGTTTTGGTTTCTGCATCTTGTATGCTTTAATGTGTGCATATTCCTTTTTCAGGATTTTCTGAGGAATATTTGGATTTAACATACAATTTAGGATGAAAGTTGACACAACTTGCATGTGGGATTACCTCTTTTTTTTTTTTTTTTTCCTTGATTCATTCTCCTTTCAATGCTTGTTGTTTCTCGTTGTAATCTGTTTAGATGAGTGTTTAGTTTAAGGTTCAGTTGGCGTGTGTTTTCTAGGAGCATGGACTTTGAGAGATTTACTTTTCAGAGAAGAAAGCAATGCTTGGGGCCTAGGATCAAACCAGGAGTGTTAGATGCATTACTTACTCCCTCTTTTCCTGCTTACATCGATTGTCGTTGCACTAGATACGATTGCTTTGTCTAAGTTTCAGTTGCTGTATTTCTTCAGGAGCATATATTTGAACTACGCGAGTCTTCTTAGCATGAGTTAATTGAATACATTCTTAATTCTTTTGCTCATTTCTTTTGTCTCATGGTGTTGGATAATTTTATTTGTTCATTGTGATTTGATGATTTCGGCTGCATTCCTTCTAATTCTCTTGTGTCATTGGGCTTCCAGTTTCACTAAATGTTTGAAGAAAATGTGGACTAATAAAAGAATTAATGCCATGAGATTAAACCTGGAGATAATTGAAGAAAAACGTGTAGCAAGGAACTGATGGTAGGATTATAATAACCACTCAAGGACTCTACTAATCTGTGACAGTGTTTTGCACTAGATATGATTGTTTAGTCTAAGTTTTGATTGCTGGATTTCTTCCAGGAGCATATCATCGAACTACAATTTATTATTGCACTGCATATCGTAGGTTTTGGTTCTAGGATATATCTATCTCTTTCATGGAACATATGTTGAAGATATATCAGGGAGTGTTTATCTATTGTTTTCCCCTTCTTCTTTCGTTAGATAGCCTTTCTGTCTTTTTTTCCCTTAATTTGAAATTTTGAGTCTACAAATCTTATTTTATGTGTTTTTAGGTTGTGATTATAAACAGCATGGACTAAGAGTGACGAGGGAGTACATGACGTTTTCGACACCTTGCCGTGTTCCAAGTGTTGTTTTAGTTCTCTCTCTCTTTTTTTTTTTTTTTTTTTTTTGTCTTGTGCACTTTATTTATTTATTTTTTTTTTGGGTGATAGATGTGTGGGGTTTGAGCTCAATGTGCGTATGGCTTTTCCAGGATGTTCTTAGGAAAATTTGGACCTAGCATAATTCGAGATGGAAGTTGACACAACTTGCATGGGGGAGCATCTGTGGTTTTGTTCTCTTTTCTTGATTAATTCTTCTTTCAATGCTTGTTATTTCTTCTTGTAATTTGTTTAGATGAGTGCTTATTTTAAGATCCTGTTGGTGTGTTTTTTCCTGGAGCATGGACTTTGGGGGAGATTTATTTTTCAGAGAAGAAAGCAATGTGTGGGGACAAGGATCAAACCAGGAGTGATAGATGCATTTACTCATTCCCTCTTTTCCTGCTTACGTTGATTGTCGTTGCATTAAATACAATTGATTTGTCTAAGTTTCAGTTGCTGTATTTCTTTGAAGAACATATGTTTGAACTACGAGAGTTCTTCTTTGCATGATTCAACTGAGTGCATTTTTAATTCTTTCGGTCATTTCTTTCGTCTCATGGTGTTGGATAATTTTATATTTTCTTCATTGTGATTTGATAATTTCTGCTGCATTCCTTCTAAATCTGTTGTGCCATTGGGCTTACAGTTTCACTAAATGTTTGAAGAAAACACAGACTAGCAAAAGAATTATTGCCATGAGGTTAATCCTGGAGATAATTCAAGAAAAAAGGGAACATGGAACTGATGGTAGGATTATAATAACCTGTCAAGCGCTCTACTAATTTGTTCTTCATAGTGTTTGTTAATTTCTGATGCATTGCTTCTAATTCTGTTTTTTCTATCTTTGGGCATACAGTTGCATTAAATGTTTGTAGAAAAACGTGGACTAAGAAAAGAATTAAATGCCATGAGAGTATTCCAGGAGATCCATGAAAACATGGAGAAAGGAACTAATGGTAGGATTATGATCAGCCAATCAAGGGCTAGTTTGCGACAGTGTCTTATGTGAGACTAATGGTTTATATTATTACTCTTCCAGTTCAAATCTGTGCTCATGGGCAGGTTCTATTTTCTTTCCCTTGCTTTTACATCTCTTTTCTTGTTACAATTCTCATCTTCTCTTCTATTGATCTTTTGCGGATGTTTTGGAAAATAATACAGCAAGTGTCTCATAAGTTGTAACCTTTTTTTTTTTTTTTAATCCACAATCTGCTACTGTTCTTCAAAGACATAATCGGTGGCTGCTTTTTCCTCGCCTTTTTTTTTTAGTTAGTGGACTTGGATTAAAGCAAGTGTGTTTAAACCAAGGATTCTCTAAGCCTTCTTTGTGGGTTTGTATGCTTTTACAGTTCGCTGCTTTTTATCTGTTTGTCTTCCTAAGTAATAGTGGTGTTTACTTGGTGGCGGGAGTTATTGATGTATGGCTATTTTCCCTCTCAGTTATTATGTGGTGAAGCTCTATTCTGTGCTTTTCATGGATTGGTGATGATCAAGTCTTGGATGTTTATATTGACTGTGTTTTTTACTTTGGTTCGAGGGTTCTTTGCTTTTTGGCTGAACTTCTGCTACTGGAAGTGTTGATTATATGGTTCAAGTCTGTTGCTTTGTCTCTGGTAGTCTGGTTTTGGATACTGATTTGATTTCTGGTACCGTGGTCTAGGTTAAGATTACTTTTGGTTATATGGAATCAAGTCAGCCATTTGGTCAAGCATCTCTATCCATTGGATGATTGTTTGCTCATTAGGAAGTGTTGGCTATCTTCTGGCTTGTGTACATGTCAAAAACTATGTTATTATGGTAGAAATTATGCATTGTCCATCACTGGCTTTTTTAGGGGTAGTCGATGCTTATTTAACAGTGGCAGCAGTTAACGGCGGTGTTTACTTGGCTGTTGGCGTTATTGATTGATGGCTATTTTGCCTCTCAGTTATTATGCGAGGAGTTGATAGTTAAGTTCTGGAAATTTCTATTGACTTGGTGTGCTTCACTTCAGTCTTTGGGTTCCTTGTTTTCTAGTGGATCTGCTATGAGAAGTGGTTGATTATATGTTCCAAGTTTGTTGCTATTGTCTCTGGTAGTCTGGTTTCTGATAACTGATTGATTTCTGGTTTCATGGTCATGGTTAACTAAATATGGTGTTCACTTGCATCTCTAGCCTTCTGATGGTTATTCCTTCTTTTGGAAGTGTTGGCCATCTACTTACTTGCATACATGTCACAAACGAAGTTGTTATGGTTGAAAATGTGCCTTGCCCATGGCTGTTGCTTTGTGTTCTGGTTTCAGATTGTGGTAGTTTCACCACTAATTCGTCAAGTGTTCTTAGTGGAGCTTGAATTTTGAAAACTATGCTGGAAAATATGATTTAAGGGTATGTTGCTAGGATTCTTCGAAAGCTCGATTCTGTCATCTTACTGGGGTAGGTTTATTGCTAGCTTTTATGATGTGCTTGGGCCTGTCGCTGTTTCCTGCAATTTGCTTCTGTATGCCTCTGTGTGTGTGTGTGTGTGTGTGTGTGTGGTTGTGGTTGTATGCATGTAAATCCACCTGTGTTGCATAACATGCAGCTCACAGCCGGTCTCAAGCCCGGGGCAAAGAGGAGAGGTGCAGTCAAAATATATTGTATGATGATTGAAATATTTGCTCATGCTGCAATTTCTAGCAGCTGTTCTTCCTTTTGCTTTGTTAATACGTTCTTTCCCTTTTTTTTGACTTAGCTAGGGTGATTTGAGGTGTTTTTGTAACCTTTGTTGTTTATCATTTCAATAGTCAATGCTCATATTCTTAAATCAGCTAAGGTAGGGGTGCTATGAAGTGATTTAATAAGCTGAGACTTTGTTTCTTCATGGTACTAAACTGGCCTACAGAAATAAAAAATAAAAAATGATGCTTTGGAGTTAAGGACGTAACTTGTAGTTGCGGAAATCTCATTTCTTCTATATATTTTCCCTCGATTTATGTTTCTCTCTCAAATTTGGTCAATATTTCCTTAACTTGTAGTTGCGGAAATCTCATTTCTTCTATATATTTTCCCTCGATTTATGTTTCTCTCTCAAATTTGTTCAATATTTCCTTAAGACGATGTTTTCGACAACAGTAAGAGTGTTTTAATTTTGTTTTGTGATTGTGTTCTTTTGGTTCTCATCGAGCTAGCATTTGTGAAGAAGGGGTTTAACAAGTAGAGGAATTAAATCTCGGTGTTTGCTATGGCTCAAGGAAGTGGTTTCTGTTGTTGTTTCTGTCTGCTTCAAATTTCCTGTTCTTTCGGATGTCTTTCATGTTACAATTATTGTGTTTAACTTCTATTGACAATTTGCAGATGTTTCCATAAATAATGCAATAATTAATTGTTTTTTTTTCTACATTTTAATCCACTGTCTGCTATTATTCTACAAAAACAGAACTAGTGATATATATCTATATCTATATATATATATATATATATATATATATATAGTCTATTTTAAAGAGATTATGGATTAGGATTAAACCAAGATGTCACATCTTTTGTTGCATTAAATTCAACTGCTTAGTCTCAGTTTCAGTTTGTTGTTTATTTCTTCCAGGATCATGGATTTAAACAATGAATCTTCTTTGATGTATGAGTGAGTATTTAATGCTGCTGATGATTTCCGCAACTTGCAAAGAACCAAGACTTCCATCGATTCTTCTCCTCCTCCTCCATTAAAAAAAAAATTAATTAATTACTTAATTAAGATTGCATACTTGTTGAAAGATGGAGAAGACTTAAGATGGTTGGCGTAAGTAAATGTTTTCATCTAAATCTTGATTTTTTCTCCAAAAAGATAACAGATTAAAATTACTTCATACCTGAAATTTCTCTTTATAATTTTGTTGTTCTACTTAAAAGTTATGATATCAAATTACAAACAATTTCAAAGGGTGGCTGAATGAATTTATGGATGGTGGAAGGTGTTATGTTCTCTCGAGTATTGACCAAAGGAAAGGATTTGAAAAAGGTTGGTTACGTGTCCATATGATTGGTCTCAACTCAATTTGATAACGTCAACCCTGTAATAATAATAATAATAATAATAATCGTAACCTTACAGGAAATTCTGTCTCTTGTGTGAATCCAAGCAATGCCAGCTTGCATTTCAGATTCAGTCAGGAATTGGAATGAAGTTAAATGAACGAAACTCCGATGCTTTTGATGTTTAAATAGCGGGGCACCGTTCCTGAGTTTAGAATTGCCTTAAATGCAGTTTTCTTTTCAGGTATCTGCTCTGTTGTTAGTTATTTTCAGGTATCTATTCTGTTGATAGTTGAAACAGACTTGTATCTGCGCCGCTGAGAAATTTGTTGTAGATAAATATTTAATCTGATGTATGTCAGGTAAAGAAATAGACTATTTTTGGTGTTCATTTTTCATTACTTTTTAATTGCAACGTATGCCTGAATTTGGAGCAGAAGAACTACAGAATTGTTGCTTGGTGGTAAGCACTATCGTAATTTTGAATAAAGGCTATTACGTAACAGTGACAGAGCACTTTGTTATTGTTATTCAGTGTTATAGGTAATCTAACTTCGTTATATAGCAAATAACATTATTGTTATATAACGTTGTTATTTGTTTTTATATAATGATGTTATATATTGAGAAATTCAAAATTTTGCATTAATCAATCACAATTGTAAAAAATGGAAAAATAAAACAAGAAGAAAAAAAAAGAACAAACGGGAATAGTAGAACAGCTTGGTCGAGAATCAGAGAGAGAGAGAAAGATGAAGAAAGCAACCTGTACGCTAAAACAAGGAAAAAAAAAAAAAGAAGAAGAACAAACGGGAATGCTAGAACAGCTTGGTTGAGAATAAGAGAGAGAAAGATGAAGAAAGCAACCTGTACGACCTCTGTATCCCTCTTCATTGTGTATGTCAATTTAGATCTTGTATTCACATAGCTAGGATGACATTTCGTGAAGTGATGATTGAGTGTTAAGTAGTAAGGTTAAGAAAGAAAAAGAAACCAATTTTCTTACACCTTGATCTTGTGTGCATCATTGTATTCATCATGCTAATGCTAGAGTTTTTGTAGATGAAGAATCCTTGCATGTGACTTGTTTGAATCGGGCACAACCTTTCAAATGTTCATTGTCATATGGAAGAAATTTTTAGAGACAATTATTGCCAGAACTGAACTCGCAGTTTTTCTCTGTTTGTTCTTGGTCGGCATTTATTTACACAAGCAACAGGAGGAAGATGGAGACCCTCGTGTGCAGCTTTCTTAATTTTTTTATTTTTTTATTTTTTTTTTTGTGGGAGATACTTTAGTATTGTCAATTCGTATTAATTGTTACCACATGCAAAACTCGAAGTTTTTTTTTTTTTTTTTTGAGGGCAGTTTATCAGCATACAATGGTGCATTTTGGCACACTTGTGTAAGCATTGACGGCGACCTTGGAGAGATGCTATAAGCAGCCGGCAGCGTTAATGACCTTTTGCCAACTTCAAGCGAATTCTCTTTTTTCGAGATAGTAAGTATTTAAAAAAAAAAAAAACCTCGAAACTCCAACCATGTAGAGTCAACTGTCAAGCATTGATGCTTTTGGTCCAATGGGTGAGGATTTTTTTTTTTTTTTTCCAGATAATCGAACCACTGAACTCAAAAATAGAAACAAGCTGAATTGGAATTTGATATTCAGATTTTGTTTTTGGTTCAAGTTGTTTTTTTCAATGTTTTTGGCCGTATAGAGTGGTCATCAACAGTATCGAATGCTTTAGCATTCAATTTTTAGAGCTAATAGAGAAATATTTACGGTTGAAGTGATTTAATTTTGAAAGCCATATGTCCAATGCCTGAAGCTTTGAAAATACCCTCTTGCCTCTTTCAAGGTTTTGCAATTCCTTTAAGTACATATCCTGTCATTTCGGAGTTTGGACATGTGAGCTCATAGAAATTAAAGAATGCCAAGTTAGAAGTGTGAGTGTAATGTCATCTATTAGCTTAATGCTCTGTTCTAGTTTAATAACAAAATGGAGCTTTTAAGCTTCTGTTATTTGAATGGCAGCACCAACAAGAATCTCTGATTGTTCTATATTGGTGCTAGGAAATTGGTATGCCAATTTATTCTCTTTCAAATCTTTCAAGAATCTCTTCAAAATTGAATCCAGTTTGTCTTCATTCAGTGTCTCCAAATGTCCAAGCTCATTGCTTAGATTGTCTCCTCGAATTCTCTGCAAAACCAATGCCATCTTCAAGGGAGGTTCACATAATTTGCAGTGAAACGTTAAGCAAATTGTTTATGTTGTACAAATTCTATTTTCCGTGAACAGGCAGAAATGGTTTTTCAAATTCTGTATTCTCTAAAAAGTATCCTTACATATTTTTATATGAAGTGCGGAAAATGGTTTTTTTCACCACTTTGGGTTAAGAAGTAAGTGACGAAATTACACTCAATGTGGATGACCGTTAATCGAATACACACTATTTATGCAAAACATATAAACATCAATATCTTTGCAAGGTAATCATTCTACAAGTATAAAGTCTTTAGAGAGACAACAAGGCCAAGTTTTAGCTTCTTGGTTAGCAAGCAATGCAAACAAGTTTATCTTACATTTGATCTCTCGTATAATTTGATTCTTTTAAAAGAGATCATTTATAATTTTTCAACTTAATTAAAAAAATTTATTCTTAGAAATCCGATGATTCAAATCCTCTCGTTAACTCGTTTATCTAACGTGCTAAAATTAACGGTAACCAATCACGATTAGACACAGGACTTAGTGGGTCTCAAGTATTACGATATTTTGTCAAAAAAAAACCCTAAAATTTATAAGATTTTTGTTATTAAGCTATCTATTAGTATATAGAAATAAAAAAAAATTTATGAGACTACCTCCACTCTCATTATAATTGCCTAACTCATTCTTTTCGATAATGTCAAGACCAATTCTCCCTCTCTTTCTTTACAAAATCAAGTTTCTTCTTTGGGCACTCTATCAATTATCCATAAACCTATAAAATCAAGTTTTTTCTTAGGACACTTCTTCAATTATCCACAAATAAGTTTGAAATTTGAATCTATTTCAAACTTATCTATCATTTCGGATCCTTCTTAAATGAACTACTCAAATTTCAAACTTATCTATCATTTTAGATCCTTATTGAACCAACTACTCAAATTTAAGACTTATCTATCATTTCATATCCTTCTTAAACCATTAAGGATAAGAATTCAAGTTTCATTCCTCTCATAAATGAAGCATTCAATATAAATAAAATTCAATTTATTTGAAATATACATCCCTTACCATGAAAAGCCGATACTATTATAATGTCAAAATAGAAGATCCGAAGTATGAAAATCATAACATTAACATAAATTAGAATTAATAATTTCAAGATGAAAAAATGCCATCTTAGGATATGAAACAATGGATCGAGGTTCGATCTTAATTATTTACCGCAGACAAATGATCCTCAATGCAAAGATTTAAAAATACATTTTACTATTGCATCTAACCATCTAAGAGACTAAAATTGATCGGGATCTATAATTTTACAGCCTTTTTTCCTCGTACCAACACTAATCAGCTTTTTCGTTTTTGCCTTGTATACCTAGAAAATCTAGCACCAACATAACTTGCTGCCATTGTTATTGAAATAGCATCATATATTGAAAATGAAAAGCTCATTTGTCTTCCTCATCTATAAAGGGGGTATTTTAATCCATCCATTTTTCAAGATCATATAGTTTTATAAGCTTCGTAGACTCTTATGAACTCAAAAGTAGTGTCCTCCCTTTAGTCATTAGTTATAATATTGGTTTGACTTTCTTTTTGGATCTTTAATACAAGAAAATATAACCGGATTAATTTAATAAGTCCGTTAAAATAAAATCAAGTTTTTTCTTTGATCCACTCATCAAAATTTTAAATTGGGTTTGGGTCCGGTTCCCATGGATAGATCATGTTAAGATCCTTAATTTCTAATTGGGATTTAAAGGATTTAGGGCATTAGGAGTTTATTTAGAGAGAGAGAGAGAGAGAGTAAGTTTGAGAATGCAAAAGAATAATTACGAAGAAAAAGAAGTGAGGAAGCTTAGGGTTTCAATCATAGATGAAAAAGAATTGAAGCGAGGGATTGAAAAATTTAGGAAGCTTGAGATTTCAATCGAAGAAGAAGAAGTAGTAGCGAGGAAGGTTAAGGTTTTAATCGAAGAAGAAAAAGCGAAGTAAAAGACTAGAAGTTTTAGGATAAGAAGAAAAAGAAGAAGAAGTTTAGGGAATGCAACAAAATTGATCTCCGTGTAGAAAGAGATAGTGATGAGACAACGATGGATTTTGGAATAATGAGATGAAGGTAAATTTGTCTTTATGTTTTATTTTCTTAATTCTAAATATTAATTTATTATTAAAAAGATTTTTTTAAATTATGGATGGCAAAATTGTTATTTGAGACCCATATGTCACGTGTCGATTGGTGATTAGCGATTGTTAATTGTAATATGCAATGTCGGATGAACAGTTGATGAAGTTATAACAAAAGGTTTGAATAAATAAATTTTTTAGAGTAGAAGATTTTAATCAAATTGAAAAATTATAGAGAATCTTAATAAAAAAAATCAAACCGTACAAGAACCATATGTGGGATAAACTCTAATTTAAATCGACCTATGCAACCGATTCCAATAGAGTTGGTACATATATATTTGATTACATAAAGTATTTTTCATTGTACACTAAAAATACATTAAGTTTTATAAATATAAAAAGTAAGTAGAAACTTATTGTCAATTTTTTATCATTTTGTTAGAATAAAATATAAGATAAAAATAGAATCTAGGTGGTTATATTCCATTGTTGAGCGGTATTGTCTTGGATTGTTACTTAGAAAGTTAGAGTTTTTAGTACATATCATCAACCATCTTTGCTCCAAAAGATATTTTATTGATTATTCAGCTTAAAAAAAAAAACCTTTTTTGGTCGTTTTATTGATGTTAGCAAAACAAAATACTTGTGAGTTACATGTTAAACTTGCTTATATTCAAGTCTATAATATCAATATTCCACATCCGTTAAAAAAAATGAAAATATAAATAGTTTATAAGCATTTTATACCATCTCTCTATTCCAGGTGTTTTTTTTTATAACAAAAATCATTATAACATCACGTGTTTGAACGTAGAATAATATCATAACAAGTGTTGTCCATGAAAACATGGACTATGTGCTTCTCGATTAAGGAATTGTGATGATATTAATATCTTATATCAGCTTAGAGTACGAAGATTAAATGTTCTATAAATTTTAAAAACAAGATACTATACTTTTTAAAAAGCAAATTATATAACAAAATTTTTTCAACATCTTTATAGATGATTTAAAATTCAATATATTGCTTAATGTTTAGATAAGCCAAAAACAAAAAAAGAAATTATTTCATTATTAGCCAAAAGATATCTCATTTTTTATCTTGTTATGAACACAATCAATATACATTATTATAAAAACTTTTTTTTGTCTTACCATGAACACAATCAATATATTTTACTAGAAAGTCACTGAATTTTAATTTTTCATCGCTGAAAATTGACCCACTCCAATAATAATAGTGATACTAAACTCTTTTTATTAAAATATAAACAAATTTAAAAATACTCACCTTAGAATAAACTTTTTTTCTAAAGGGAAAGATGAATGGAATCTTGAAGGGTGCGATATGAACAAGGATCCTATCACTTTTAAAAAGGAAAGAATTTCTACTGCAAATAGTTGATCATTGGGGGTAAGAAATGGTATTGAATCCAAACAAAGCAGATGAGGAGAAGTGAAGCATGAAAATAGAGTAGATTGCAGTGGAGAATGAGAGTCGTTAAAATTTAGTCCTAAACATTTTGTTTCTAAATTTTTAAAAAATCAACCATAATTCTTAATATTATCAATAAAATAAAGTAACAATTTAGTCCCCAATTTTTTTATGCTTTTTTTTTTAATTTTAAACTTTAATTATATTGTGATTTGGTCCTATTTTGTTTTAGTGTTTTTTGTTAATTATTTTTATTATTTAATTTACTACTTTAATTTGTCTTTTTTTTTAAAAAAAAAATCTCTTTCTTTTTTTTAATTTCAAATTTTAATTATATTGTGATTCGGTCCCATTTTGTTTTAGTGTTTTTTTGTTAATTATTTTTATTATTTAAAATTTACTACTTTAATTTGTCATTTTTTTAAATTCTTATCCAATTAATTTAAAATTATATTTATTGAGAGTTTTGATTTATTTTTCTATACGTATGGATTTTGAAATAAATTTTTAGAACATGATTATTTTTTCTTTTGAAAAATAGATTTAGATAATTTTTAAATTATAGTAGCATGATTAATATATACAATTTTTTTGAAATACATTTTTAGATTAAAAGTGTATTTCAAATAATTTTTTCTCAATTTTTTATATTATTTTAAACTTACTATATTAATTTGTTATTTTTTTTTAAATTCTTTTTTTTCAATTTCAAACTTTGATTATATTGTGATTTGGTCTCATTTTTTTTAGTGTTTTTTGTTAATTATTTTTATTATTTAAAATTTACTGCTTTAATTTGTAATTTTTTTTAAAAAATTTCATCTAATTAATTTAAAATTATATTTAGTGATAGTTTTGATTTATTTTTCTATATGTATGGATTTTGAAATAAATTTTAGAACATGATTTTTTTTTTTTGAAAAATAGTTTTAGATAATGTTTAAATTATAATAACATGATTAATATATATAATTTGTTTGAAATAAATTTTTAGGTTAAAAATGTTTTTCAAATAACTTTTCTCTGTTTTTTTTTATGTTATTTAAAATTTACTACATTAATTTGTCTTTTTGAAATTCTCTCTCTTTTCTTTTTCAATTTCAAACTTTGATTATATTGTGATTTGGTCCTATTTTGTTTTAATGTTTTTTGTTAATTATTTTTATTATTTAAAATGTACTACTTTAATTTGTTTTTTTTTAAATTCTTATCCAATTAATTTAAAATTAAATTTACCGATAATTTATTTTTCTATATGTATGGATTTCGAAATGAATTTTTATTGCATGATTATTTTTTAGAACATGATTATTTTTCTATATGTATAGAAAGCTTTTAAATTATAGTGACATGATTAATATATATAATTTGTCTAAAATACATTTTTAGATTAAAAATGTGTGTCAAATAATTGTTTCTTGGTTTTTTTTTTTTATAGAAAAAACTCAAATTAACTAATTAATAGTTGAAAGTCAAATTAATATGATTTTTTATTTTAATATTATTCATTATTTTTTAAATAAATATATAAAAATTAAATTTATATTTTTTCAAAAACCGATATTTTCATCAACATTAAATAAAAAAATTATTTGTTCAATTCTATATAAGCTTTTAATAATTGTTATTTATGTTGTTCAACACAATCTTATGAAATACTAATTTTTTTTAAAAAAATTATTTAATTTTCTGTTTTGTTAATAATCTTAAAAAAATTATTTAATTTTCTGTTTTGTTAATAATCCATAGATTAACAAGGATAAATCATTTTTTTAAACGAAAAATTATGAAAAACACAAATAATAAATAGTTAAATACAAAATTTTTTATTAAAAAATTATAAATATTTTTTTATTTTTAATTTTATATATTTTTTATAGATTCATATTATCAAACAAACTATAAAATTAAAATAATTTTTTAAAACTATTTTATATATTTTATCCTATTCGTAAAGTAATGTAAAAAAAAGAAAAAAAAAAAAGAGGTTGTACTCTACACACTAGCCACGCCTTCACTAACTGAATATGCCAGTTTTGAGCCCTAGGAAATGCAAGGAAAAAGTGGGGAAATTTTGGACACAAGTGATCTGGCCATCCTCGGAAATGCCGATAACCTCAAAGATCCTGGGAATGATGCCAAGATGCCGCATCACCTGTGACTGTGGGCAAACTAGGCTGAGAAGGACAAGTGGCCGGTAAATTTGTCCAGCTAATCTGGTAAATGGTCTTGCTTCCTGGCCGAGGCGGGCTTGTAAGAAGATTTGGGCTTTTGTGAGAACTTAAACATGGGCGTTTTATTTCGTTAGACGCTGAGCGCGTCTTAATCACGTTAATTTAGAGCGCGTAAAGATAAGGGTAAAGCGTTTAAATCAAGCTAACAAAGCGCGTAAAGCGGGACCGCGTAAAGCCGCGTTGGGTCATCTGACCGACTCTATCAGCTATAAATTCAGCCTCTCAGGCTCACTTTTTCATCAAGCTAGAAGGTTCGCCGGGTCTCGCTTTTTCTTTATTTTTGGTAACGATTTCCTCTCTCCTCTTTCTGCGATCTAAGTTAGGGTTTTATTTCGTTCTACGATATTTGAATTTAGAGTGTTGTTTCTCGATCTATGAATCTAGGTTTTTGACCCGAAGTTAGGTTTCTGGGGCAGATTGATTGCAGTATGACTAATTTTTTGGTTTCAATTCGTTCTTCGATCATCGAAGATAGTTTTTGCTCTCGATTTACGAATATAGCTTTTTGACACAAAGCTAGGGTTCTGCTGCAGATTGTTGGAGCATGATTAATTCTTTGGTTTCAGAATTGGAAGGAATGAAGCGGACATAAGAATTGGTTGAGATCTTGTCGTTGTGGAGAAGATGTTGACATGAATTTTGGGAATTGGGATTTACTATGAGACAAAATATGGTTTTCTTTCCTTAGCTCTTATTATTCTGAATATGGTTTCAAGAATTTCTGATGTGTTCCGCCTATTTCTGCTTTGCACAATTGAATAGATAATTCTGCTTCGAATAATTGGGTTTTAGGATTTCAAGAAAACGTGGACTAACATGGAATAAATTACAAAATACGGTTTTCTTTCCTTAGCTCTTCCTTATGATTCTGAGCATGATGTTTCAAGAATTTCTGATGTCTTCCTCCTGGTTCTGCTTTGCATAATGAAATTGATAATTCTGCTTTGGATAATTGGGTTCTCAGGGATTCAAGAAAACGTGGACTAACATGGAATTAATGGTACCGAGATAATTCAAGAAAATATGGTTAACAAGGAGCTAATGGTATGGATCTAAAAGGGATCTGCAGATTTATGAGAAGTTAGGGATGCTGGTTTGTTTCGCATTGCTGTCAACAATTTATAATATCACCACTCATCTTAGATTTTATTTCCAGGACGCTTTTAGCTCTTTGGAGGAACATATGGTGAAGATTAATCAGGGAGTGGCTCATCTTTATCTATTGTTTTCCCCTTCTTTCGTTGGGTTGTTAACATTTTATTCTTTTTTCCCTTAAATTGAAGTTTTGAGCCTGCAAATCCCATTTTATATGTTTTTAGGTTATGATTTATAAACGACAGGGAGTAAGAGTGACAGGGAAGTACATTATGTTTCCGACACCTTGCTGTGGTCTAAGTGTTACTTTAGTTTTGCTATTGTACTTTGTGCACTTTTTTTTCTTAATAGAAGAGTAGGATCTGAGCTTCGTATGTGCATATGCCTTTTCCAGGATGTTCTGAAGAATATTTGGACTTGTCATAATTCAGGAATGTTGTTGAGACATGGGGAAGTAGCTTTGTGTTTTCCTCTTCTTTCCTTGACGCTTGTTATTTTTATTGTATTGTGTTAAGATGAGTGGTTAGTTTAAGCTTCAATTGGTGTGTTTTCCCGGAACATGGACTTAAGAGGTATTTTTTATTTTTTATTTTTTGGAATAGAAAGTAACGTGTGGGGAGGAGAATCAAACCAGGAGTGTTAAATGCATTATGTACTACCTCTTTTCCTGTTTACATTGTTTGTCACTGCATTAGATACAATCGTTTTGTCCAAGTTTCAGTTGTTGTATTTCTTCCAGGAGGATGTATTTAAACTATTGAGTGTTCTACGTTTAGTTACCTGAGTTCTTTCTTAATTCTTTGTTTCATTTCTTTCATCTCACGCTGTTGGATAATTTTATTTGTTCTTCATAATAATTTGATAATTTCTAATGTATTGTTTCTAATTCTGTTATGTATCATTGGGCTTACAATTTCATTAAATGTTCGAAGATAACGTCGACTAACAAAAGAATTAAAGCCATGAGGTTAATCAAGGAGATAATTCAAGAAATCATGGAACAGGGAACTAATGGTAGGATTATAATCAACCAAGCAAAGGCTTTGCTAATTTGTGAAGGCGTCTTGTGGGGCTTGTTATGTGAGAAGCTTAACTGTTTGGTTGTTTAATTTTTTTTCACTATTTATTTTTTTGCATTCACTACTATAGGACTGGGATATGTTCTTTGTAGGATGTTCTTTGTAGGATTGTTTTTACAGCTTTTGTAATTTTAACTTACGGTGGAGAATGGGGTTGCTGTGCTAGGATAGGAGACAACAGTGGTGCTCTGATCCATGTCTTGATCTTGATGATGCTTTCTACATTGACTCAGGTGCCTGTTAAGTTTGTTTTGCATGGCAATCAACAATTTATAATATCACCACTTAACTTAGGTTTTGTTTCCAGGACACGTTTAGCTATTTCGAGGGACATATGGTGAATATTAATGAGGGAGTGTTAATCTTTATCTATTGTTTTCCTCATCTTTGGTTATAAACACTATTCTTTTTTCCCTTAAATTGATGTTTTGAGTTTACAAATCCTATTTTATGTTTTGAGGTTGTGATTATAAACAACATGGACTGAGAGTGACAAGGAAGTACATTATGTTTTTGACACTTTTCTGTGTTTCAAGTGTTGTTTTTGTAACTTGGGAAAACTTTTTTTTGTAATAGAAATGTAGTATCTGAGCTCAATGTATGCGTGTGCCTTTTCCAGGATGTTCTAAAGAATTTTTGGACTTGGCGTAATTCAGGAATGAAGTTGACATAACTTGCATGGGGGAGTACCTCTGTTTTGTTATCTGCTATCCTTGATGCTTGTTATTTTTTTTATTTTATTTTTTAATTTTGTTTTTGTATGGTGTTAAAATGAATGTTTGGTTTCAGCTTCAGTCGGCATGTGTTTTCCTGCAATATGGACTGTGAGAGAGTTATTTTTTATTTTTCAGAAAGAATGCTATAATTGGGGATGAGGATCAAACAAGGAGTGTAAAACGCATTATTTCTTCCCTCCTTTTCTGCGTGCATTGTTTGTCATTGCAGTAGATACAATTGTTTTGTCTAAGTTTCAGTTGTTTTATTTTTTCCAGGGCCATATGTTTGGACTACGAGTCTTCTTCTGTTCATGAATTAAAGTACCTTCTTAATTCTGTGTTTCATTTCTTTGGTGTCATGGTGTTGGATAATTTTTATTTGTTCTTCATTGTGATTTTATAATTTCTGATGCATTCCTTACAACTCTGTTTTGTATAATTTGGCTTACAGTATACATGAAATATTTGTATAAAATGCTGACCAACAAAAGAGTTAAAGCCACGAGGTTAATCTAGGAGATAATTCAAGAAAGCATAGAACAAGGAACTAATGGTAGGATTATAATCAACCAATCAATGGCTCTACTAATTTGTGATAGTATCTTGCGAGGCTTGTTATGTGAGAAACTTAACTGTCTGGTTGTTTAATTCCTTCACTATCTATTTGATTTATGCATGCATGACTTAATAGTGCTGGTATATGATCTTTCTAGGATTATTATTACAGCATTTATAATTTATAATTCTAACGGGGTTGTGGTGTTTGGAAACAACAACGGTGCTCGGATCCATGTCTTGATCATGATGATGCTTTCGACATTGTGTCTGGTATCTGTCAAGTTTGTTTTGCATTGCAATCAACAGATTATAGTATCACCACCTTTCTTTCCAGGACCCATTTTGGTCTTTCAAAGAACTCATGGTGAGTAATCCTTTCCTTCTATTTCTGGTTTGTATAATTGGGCTTGCAGATTCATTAAGTGTTTGTAGAAAACGTGGACTAACAAGACAATTAATGCCAATGGTGCTTTTATCCATGTCTTTATCATGATGATGCCTTCCACATCGAATCAGGTGTGTTCTAAATATGTTTTGCATTGCAACAAATGATTTATTATTGCATTGCATATCTTAAGTTTTGTTTCCAGGATCCATTTACCTCTTTCGAGGAACATATAGTGAAGAGATATCAGGGAGTGTTAATCTCTCTCTATTGTTTTCTCGTCTTCTTTAGTTGGGTAACACTTGTCTTTTTTTCCCTTAAATTGAAGTTTTGATTCTAAAAGTCCTATTTTGTGTTTTTAGGTTCCGATTATAAACGACATGGGCTAAGAGTGACGAGGGAGTACATGATGTTTTCGATCCCTTGCTGTGTTCTAAGTGTTATTTTAGTGTTGGTTTTTGCATTTTGTACTTTTTTTTTGTTTGGGGGGGGGGGGTAAATAAAAGTGTGGGGTCTGAGCTCAATGTGCGCATATTCCTTTTCCAGGATGTGCTAAGGGATATTTGGATTTAGCATAATTCTGGATGAAAGTTGACAGGATTTGCATGGGGAGCTACCTCTGGTTTTTTTCCTCTTTTCTCGATTCATTTTTCTTTCAATGCTTGTTATTTCTTATTGCAATGTGTTTAGATGAGTGTTTAGTTGGTGTATGTTTTCCAGGAGCATGGACTTTCAGAGCTTTAGTTTTCAGCAAAGAGAGCAATATGTGAGGACTAAGATCAAACGAGGAGTGTTAGATGCATTACTTACTCTCTCTTTTCCTGCACTAGATACATTTGCTTTGTTTAAGTTTTAATTATTGTATTTCTTCAGGAGCATATGTTTGAACTACGAGACTTCTTCTTTGAATGAGATTAACTGAGTACTTTTTAAATTCTTTCACTCACTTCTTTTATCTCGTTGTGTTGGTATGTTCTTTATTGTGATTTGATAATTTCTGTTGCATTCCTTCTAAATCTGTTTTGTGTCATTGGGTTTCATATTGTTTCACCAAATGTTTGAAGAAAATGCGGACTAACAAAGGAATAGGTTAATCCAGGAGATAATTCAAGAAAAACATGGAACAAGGAACTGATGGTAAGACTATAATAACCAGTCAAGGGCTCTACTCATTTGTGACGGTGTCTTTGCATTAGATACAATGGTTTAGTCTAAGTTTCGGTTGCTGTATTTCTTCCAGGAGCATATCTTTGAATTACGAGTCTTTTTGAGTACCTTCTTAAATATTGCTTTTATTTCTTTCGTCTCATAGTGTGTTGGATAAATTTATTTTTTCTTAATTTTGATTTGATTATTTCTGATGCTTTCCTTCTAGTTCTGCTTTGCATGATTAGGCTTATATATTCATTAAATGTTTCTAGAAAACGTGGACTAAAGAGAGAGAATTAATGCTAATGGTGCTCTTATCCATGTATTAATCATGATGATGACTTCAACATTGAATCATGTATTTGTTAAAATATGTTTTGCATTGCAACGAACAATTTTTTATTGGACTGCATATCTTAAGTTTTGTTTTCAGGATACATTTAGCTCTTTCGAGAAACATATGGTGAAGATATATCACGGAGTGCTAATCATTATCTATTGTTTATCCTTTCTTCTTTGGTTAGATAACGCTTTTGTCTTTTTTCCCTTTAAATTGAAGTTTTGAGTCTACTTTCCTTCTAGTTCTTTTTTGTATAATTAGGCTTATAGATTCATTAAATCTTTGTAGAAAACGTGGACCAACAGGAGAATTAATGCCAGTGGTGCTCTTATCCATGTCTTAATCATGACCTTCAACATTGAATCGAGTAGTTGTTAAATATGTTTGGCATTGCAACAAACAATTTATTATTGCACTGCATATCTTAAGTTTTGTTTTTTGAGGATACATTTAGCTCTTTCGAGGAACATATGGTGAAGATATATCAGGAAGTGCTAATCTTTACCTATTGTTTTTCCTTTCTTCTTTTGTTAGATAACGCTTTTGTCTTTTTTTCCCTTTAAATTGAAGTTTTGAGTCTACAAATCCTGTTTTGTGTGTTTTTAGGTTGTGATTATAAACAGCATGGACTAGAGTGACGAGGGAGTACAATATGTATTCGACACCTTGCTGTGCTCTAAGTGTTATTTTAGTTTTGTTTTTTGCATCTTGTACAATTCTTTTGGGTAATAGGTGCGTGGATTCTGAGCTCAATGTGTGTATATGTCTTTTTCAGGATGTTCTAAGGAAAGTTTGGAATCAGCATAATTTGGATGGAAGTTGGCATGACTTGCATGGGGTTTCCTCTAGTTTTTTCCTCGAGTTGTTCTTCTTTCAATGCTTGCTATTTCTTATTGTGATGTGTTTACGCGAGTGTTTAGTTTAGTTTAAACTCTGTTGGTGTGTGTTTTCCAGGAGCATGGACTTTGGGAGAGTTATTTATTTTCAGAAAAGAAAGCAATGTGTGTGGACTGGGATCAAACCTGAAGCGTTAGATGCATTACTTACTCCTTTTCCTGTTTACATCGATTGTCATTGCACTAGATATAATTGCTTTGTCTAAGTTTCAGTTGCTGTATTTCTCCCAAGAGCATATATTTGAACCACGACAGTTTTCTTCATTGGGTGCATTCCTTCTAATTATGTTGTGTTGTTGGGTTTACAGTTCCACTAAATGTTTGAAGAAAACCCAGACTAACAAAGGAATTAATGCCATGAGATTAATCCTGAAGATAATTCAAGGAAAAGTTGCAACGTGGAACTGATGGTAGGATTAGAATAGCCAGTCAAGTGCTTTCCTAATTTGTGATGGTGTCTTGGGGGGCTTTTTATGTGAGAAACTTAATTGTCTGGTTATTTAACTTTGTCACTCTATTTCATTTATGCATTCCTGACTTAATTGTAACTGGTATATGATCTTTGTAGGATTCTTCTTACAGCATTTTTAATTTTAATTTATGGTGGAGAAAGGGGTTGCTGTGTCAGGAAACAGCAATGGTGCTCTGATCCATGTCTTGATCAAGATGATGCTTTCAACATTGAATCTACTGTCCGTTAGGTTTAGCATTGCAATCAAATGATTATATTTTTCCCTTTCTTCTTTGGTTATCACACTTTATCCTTTTTTCCCTTATACTGAAGTCTTGTGTCTACAAATCCTGTTTTATGTGTTTTTAGGTTGGGATTATAAATGACTTGGACTAAGAGCGACAAGGGAGTACAATATGTATTCGACACTTTGCTGTGTTCTAAGTGCTATTTTAGTTTTGTTTTGTATCCTGTATGCGATTATTTTTGTAATAGAAGCATATGGTCTGAGCCCAATGTGTTAATATGCCTTTTCCAGGATGTTCTATGGAATATTTGGACTCAGAATAATTCAGGAATGAAGTTGACACAACTTGCTGGAGGGAGTCCCTCTGTTTTTTTTTCAACATTGAATCTAGTTTCCGTTAGATTTTTTTAGCATTGCAATCAACGGATTATAGTACCATCACTTCTTAGGTTTTCTTTCCAGGATGCATTTTGGTCTTTCGAGGAACATGCAGTGAAGATTTCGCAGGGAGTTTTAATCTTTATTGATTGTTTTTCCCCTTTCTTCTTTGGTTATCACACTTTATCCTTTTTTCCCTTATACTGAAGTCTTGAGTCTACAAATCCTATTTTATGTGTTTTCAGGTTGGGATTATAAATGACTTGGACTAAGAGCGACAAGGGAGTACAATGTATCTTCGACACTTTGCTGTGTTCTAAGTGCTATTTTAGTTTTGTTTTTGTATCCTGTACGCTTTTATTTTTGTAATAGAAGCATATGGTCTGAGCTCAATGTGTTAATGTGCCTTTTCCAGGATGTTCTATGGAATATTTGGACTCAGCATAATTCAGGAATGAAGTTGACACAACTTGCTAGAGGGAGTCCCTCTGTTTTTTTCTGTCCTTTCCATGACGCTTTTTAATTTTTAATTGTGTTTAGTTTAAGTTTCTGTTAGTTTGTGTTTTCTGAACATGGATTTGAGAGAATCATTTTTTGTTTTATATTTTCAGAAAAGAAAGTGATGCGTGGGGACTTGGATTAAACCCGGAGTGTTAAATGCATTGCTTACTCCCTCTTTTACTGCTTACATTATTTTTCTTTGCATTAGATACAATGATTTTGTCTTAGTTTTGGTTGACATATTTTTTCCAGGAGCATATGTTTGAACTACGAGCCTTCTCCTCCGCATGGGTTAACTGAGTAACTTCTTAAATATTGCTTATATTTCTTTCATCTCATAGTGTTGGATAAATTTATTTTTTCTTCATTGTGATTTGATTATTTCTGATGCTTTCCTTCTAGTTCTGTTTTGTATAATTGGGCTTACAAATTCATTGAATGTTTGTATAAAACATGGACTAACAAGAGAATTAACGCCAATGGTGCTTTTATCCATGTCTTTATCATGATGATGCCTTCACCATCGAATCAAGTGTTTTCTAAATATGTTTTGGATTGCAACAAACAATTTATTATTGCACTGCATATTTTAAGTTTTGTTTCCAGGGTCCATTTAACTCTTTCGAGGAACATATGGTGAAGATATATCAGGGAGTGTTAATCTTTATCTATTGTTTTCCTGTCTTCTTTAGTTTCATAACACCTGTCTTTTCTTCCCCTTAAATTGAAGTTTTGAGTCTAGAAGTCCTATTTTGTGTTTTTAGGTTCCGATTATAAACGGCATGGACTAAGAGCGACGAGGGAGTGCATGATGTTTTCGATCCCTTGCTGTGTTCTAAGTGTTATTTTAGTGTTGTTTTTGCATTTTGTACGTTTTTTTTTTTTTTGGGGGGGGTAATAGAAGTGTGGGGTTTGAGCTCAATGTGCGCATATTCCTTTTCCAGGATGTGCTAAGGAATATTTGGACTTAGCATAATTCAGGATGAAAGTTGTG